AAAATTGTTGAAGATTCACAAAATGCTCCAAGAAGCAAGGATGAATACTCTTGAAATGAATGTAAAGGTAGAAAGCATCAACAAAGAAATAGAAGATATAAAGAAGGACCCAATGGAAATGTTACAATTGAAAGTAAAATAACCAAAATAAAAATCTCGTTGATGGATTCAATAGCATAATAGAAATGACAGCAAAGAATCAGTGAACTTGAAGATACGTCCCTGGAATCTATCTGATTTGAACAACAAAGGAAAAATGTGTTTTTAAAATTTTTTTAAATGTTTTTATTTTGTTTTTGAGAGACAGATTGCAAGCAGGGGAGGGGCAAAGAGAGAGAGTGAGACACAGAATCCAAAACAGGTTCTAGGCTCTGAGCTGTCATTACAGCGGCTGATAAGGGGCTTGAACTCAGGAGCTATGAGGTCATGACCTGAGCCGAAGTCAGATGCTTAACCGACTGAGCCACCAGGGGCCCTGAGAAAAAGTGTTTTTAAGAAATGAACAGAGCCTGAGGACCTATGGGACAGTATCTAATTCATGTCATTAAAATTCCAGAAGAGTTTGTTGAAGAAGTATTTCAAGAAATAATATATGAACATTTCCCAAATTTGACCAAAGACATAGGTCTTCAGATCTGAGAAGTTCAGTGAGCCCTAAACAAGGATCTAGTGAGGGGGTGGACTAGAGACCCAGCCATTCAGGACTGCTGTGAGGCAGCTCTGACGGGAGATACTAGCTGCAGCCTCCTTGCCACTTTATTTTAAAAATGTTAACGTTTTTATTTATTTTTGAGAGAGAGAGAGAGTGCAAGGGGAGGAGCAGGGCAGGGGAGACACAGAATTCCAAGCAGGCTCCAGGCTCTGAGCTGTCAGCACAGAGCCTGACGCAGGGCTTGAACTCCATGAACCGTGAGATGATGACTTGAGTTAGAGTTGGAATCAGTGAGACACCTAACTGACTGAGCCACTGAGGCACCCCCACTCCTGCCACTTTGATCAAAGCTTTGTCAGGCCTCTTTGACTTCTCCCTCTGCCCTTCCCTCCTTCCTCTTCCCTTCACAGATATTGATCTATAATAAATATCCTGCACCCCAAACTCTATCTCTGCTTCTGAGTGTTGTAACATCAGTGCAAACAATAGAAGTATAGAGCAGAGACGTGAACCCAGGTATGCAGATCCAGAGTCCGTGTTCTTAGTGGCTACCAGAGGCAGTTTGCCATAAAGCTTAAGCTTCAAGACCCCTAATGTGCACAAACGCTTTCAGAGGCTCTTAGGTCTGGGAGGATGAGGGAGCCTAGCAATCTCTTCACATTGCTATATGAATTTGTAAAATTTGCCAAAAAAAGCTATTTTAGCCACAATTGGTAAAGTTGTCTCTTTCCACTCTGACTTCCTTTCCATTACACTTTCCCTCCTAACACTTCTCATGGTAAGAATGGTGAAATGGCCATGGACCTTTGTTTGCAACAGAGTAGCCACCTCAGCCTGTTTTCAGCCCATAGAAGTTTGGGGGCTTTGGTAGGCAGAAAAATGGCCCCCTAAAGATGTCCATGCCCTAGTTCCCCAAATCTGAGACTTTTGGTGTATTATTAAGTTAAGGATCTTAAGATGGGGAGATTATACTGAATTCATCTTGGTGAGTGACGTAATCACAAAGGTCCTTAAGAGAATCAGAGAAGGAGATGTGACAGTAGAAGCAAAGTCAAATAGAGATGTAAACTATTGCATTGTTGGTTTTGAGGGAGAAGGAAGGGGCTACAAATCAAGAAATGTAGGCAGTCCATAGAAACTGGGAAAAGCAAGGAATAGATTCTCCTCTAGAGCCTCCAGAAGAAACAGCCCTGCTGACAGCCAGTGAGACCCATTTCAGACTTTTGAACTCCAGAAAGGTAAGATAATAAATTTGAGTTGTTCCAAGTCATTAAGTTTGAGGTAATTTGTTACAGCAGCAGTAGGAAATGGATACAGGGTTCCAAAGGCATCTTTTTAAAATTTCTTACCTTCCTCTCTCCCTCCCTATCTTCCTTCCTTCCTTCCCTTTCTTTCTTCCTTCCTTCCTTCCTTCCTTCCTTCCTTCCTTCCTTCCTTTCTTTCTTTCTTTCTTTCTCCCTTCCTTCCTTCCTTCCTTCCTTCCTTCCTTTCTTTCTTTCTTTCTTTCTTTCTTTCTCTCTTCCTTCCTTCCTTCCTTCCTTCCTTCCTTCCTTCCTTTCTTTCTTTCTTTCTTTCTTTCTTTCTTTCTTTCGCCCAAACTGGCAGTACTTCTTCACATAAAATTATCTTAAACCATTTTTAAAGTTTGTTTGTTTGTTTGTTTATGTAATCTCTACACTTAACTGGGGCTCTGAACTCTGCACCGAGGTCAAGGAAGTCACATGATCCACTGACTGAGCTGGTCAAATGCTCCTTATCTGAAAACTCTTGGTGATTTCCTGTAAATCTGATTGGAATCCGTTCCTTTAGAGAAAAGCCACATCTATTTTTCTTTTAGGGCCCTTCTCTCACATGGGCTGAGAGTCAGGATGCTGTGGTACAAGTGTCTTAAGGTTCTTAGAAACATTTTTGCCTGGCTAGAATAGTCTACTTTATAGGGGACACTCTCAAGACTGTTAGAGGCTCTCTTGTTTACCAGTGAAAATCAAAATGAAATAACCTTTCTTTGAAGGTCGGCTAGGCACGCCTTTAAATCTTTCTAAAGTCTCAACATAGAGTTTAAAGCCATACTTTTGAAAGCTTTACCTTGAGGTCATGTTTTACTTGTAGTGCTCCGGGCTTGTTCTTTACTCTGCATCATTTCTTTATTTGAGAAATTTTAGATGCTTGTAAAGACTGTTAGACCTTCTATATTTCCTCTAAATTCAGCTTAGAAACTGAGCCATTCCTTGTATGTTTTTTGTATTTTATTGTGGTCTGTCAGAAGAAGCCAGTTGGCACTTTCATCATTCTGCCTGGAGACTTCATTAGCCAGATTCACAATGTAGTTATTAGAATGTCTTCTGTTTTCACAGTGCCTGCAGGACAAGCTTCATTAACTGTTCTCAGTACAGAACAGCACTCAAGTGCCCTTTTCTCCATCCCACAACAATGTTTTCCTTCCTGTCCTTCAAGCCCTCATCAACAGTCTCCTGGAGGCCCTTCCAGATTTTGCTAACAGTCTTTGTGAGGGCCTTCACTTTGTCAAAGCCAGTGACACATGGTTTAAGGTAAGCTCAATCTTTATTCCCTCACTCAGGAACTGGAGGTGGGCTACCCAAGGAAGTTTTGAAATGGCTTCAGGTAAGGTTGCTCTCTGCTGCAGGACTGACCCCAAAGAGCTGACTGCTGGAGGCTCTTCTGACTCACTCTCTGGAGCTATGCACCAAGTCCTTCCTTGAAAGGGGATCTGGGTGATGCATCTCTGTGTCTTCCAGGAGCAGTGCTCTGCTGGAGCTGGCCCATACACCCTCAAGAGAGCCAGCTGTTAACTCTTTACTGTGTTCAGTGATACCATCTCAGTACCTTGAAAGTGGCCATTGTGGGAGAACTTACACCACAGAAATTAGCAAATGTCACAAATCAGGACTTCTATTGTCCTGGGGAGCTATTTTACCAGCACACCTTTGAATGTAGTCTATACATAATTAACAATGAGTAAGTTATTTATTCTCTCTGTGCCTCAATCTTCTTATTTGTAAAGTGGGACAAATAATACTACCTATGCCATAGAGTCAGTATGAGAATTAAATGAGCTAATACATGCAAAATGCTTAGACAATGCCTAGCACAGAGGAAGCGCTAAGTCTTAACTATTATTTTTACTGTTGTTGCTGTTACTACTGTTATTGGCACCTTAAAACTTCCATTAGATTTTCATAAAGGATAGGCTAAATTTCTTAGTATGTCATGCAATGACAATATAATCCGACAGTTCCAACCACAAGGAACTTTTCATCATTTCTGGAACTCAGACTATTTTTCCATCTCCAAATGTCAGTACCCATAGGTCCCTTCTGCCAGAAAAGCCCATCCCTCACTTGCCTGTCATCTTCTAGAGAATTTCTTTTCATCCTTTTAGACCCTAACACATTGCCTTCTCTGGGAAGCCCTCCACCACCTACCCATGGCAGGAACTCCCTCCTCAGTGTTGCCATTGCTCATTGCACAGCCGTCCATTATCCTGATAGTGCTTTATTGTGCCTACCTGTTATCTATTTCCCCTTGTGAGTCCAGGGTTGGATGTGCTGTTTCTCTGTGTCCTCAGCACAGTAACAGAGGTACTGAATATTTGTTGAATGAATGAATGAATGAATGAATGAATGAATGAATGAATGAACATTGCCTGGGAAGGTGAGGAAAAGAGCAAGTAGCCTAGTAGGATATAAAACTAATAATATTTTTGTTTTCTTAAATGGCCATAGGTATATGGTAAGGAGCAACGCCCCGGGACCCCAGCGTTTTAGGTGTGATATGTCCTAGATTTGTCATGCAGCGACCCTAATCGCCTCGGCCCTCTTTACCAGGATTCTGCCTGTCTCTCATGATGGCTCAGATAACAAGTCTTCCATGAAGGGTTCCTTCCTCTGCTCTCCTACAGCTCTCCACCCACATCGTCATGGCCAACCACATCATTCACTCCTCTGGATTTCCCCATAAGGATCCGGTGGTGTTTCTGTTTCCACTCTCCATCCACCGGGGGGAATGCTTGGGGGACGGCGTCGTTCAGCCATAGACCGGTGAATTCGTCCTCCCGCACCCCCTGCCTCTGTTTCCCCGAACCTGAACGCGGCACAGCGGAAACCCCGTCCCGGGGCCGTGTCTCAGTGGAGGGCGGGCGAACCCTGAGGGCGCCGCAGCCCCCACGCAGGCGGAGGAGCCAGGGGGCAGGCGGGTGGGAGACGGCGAGCGCCCGACGGGAGGCGTCAGAGCGAAGGCGGGGGGAGGGGGCCCGAGGCTGGGCGGCCGGGCGGGGCCGCGCGGCGCGCGCCCGGGGCCTGGCGGGCCGGCCTGAGGGGACGCGCGCGAGCGCCGGCGATGGGCCCCGCGGCGCGGCTGGCGGCGCTGCTGGCTGTCCTGGCGCTCCTGGCGGGGGACCCCGCGGGAGCCGCGGCGCGGGGGGAAACGTTCTCGGCGCTGACCAGCGTTGCGCGTGCCCTGGCGCCCGAGCGCCGGCTGCTGGTGCTGCTGCGGCGCTACCTGAGCGGGGAGGAGGCGCGGCTGCGGGACCTGACCAGGTGAGGGCACGCGAGTGGGGGCGGGGAGAGAGCCGCAGGGGCGCCGGAGTTGGGGAGACTGAGTCAGAGGGCAAGTCCGAGACGCCCTGCTCTGCGGTGGCGGGCGACTCGGTCTCGTTGTCCCTCTGCGTAGGACCTCAGACTCAGCTGGAGACTGGGGAAGAGCCTCGCAAGACTGTGAGACTGAGACACCGTGGCCCAGTGTGACGGTCAGATCCAGGGTCACCTGCGCGGGACCCCGAGACGCCCCCGAGGTGTGCCCCGAAGCATGAGGTCGTGGGGAAACAGACTGAGTGTGACCCCAGGGACGTTGTGTCACACGGTGTGGAGCCTCGAACTCCGTCGCACACACACAGTAGCTCCCCAGATCCACCCTCGCACAGCCAAGTTGATGGCTGTGCAAAAGTGTGGTAGAAGTGACGGGCTGAGTAGGAAGGACCTCACAAGGCACTGTATCCAGCTGTGTGGGACCCCAGGCTCTGTGCCACAGAGACACAGGGAGACTCTAAGAGTGAGACAGAGAAAATCCTGTGTGACGCTGTATCCGCGTGTGTTGACCATGTGTCCCAGAGAACTGGTGTTTAGTATGCAGTGACATTCTGTGACCAGGTATGAGATTCACATGCCTCTGGGACTGCGTGGGCAGGACACTGTGGATATCTCTGCGTGTCTATGAATGCTGATTGTACAGCTCACTATATGACTAATGCTTCATGTTCATTAACTCATTCAACACACACGTTTGAGTGGCTGTTATGAACCAAGCACTGTTCCAGGCAGTGAGGATAAAATGGTGAACAAGACCCAACCCTGGCCTCAAGGAGTTTGGAGTCCATAGCATCATGATTGTTAATCCAAGATATCCTTGCCTCCTTTGCTTCAACTTTCCCTTCTCTCCCCACATAGAAGAGCTCTCTAAATTCTAAATGCAAGATAACTGAGATTTAATATGTCTATGCTGACATCAGGAAAACACTGGGGAGGAGGGCCTAGATGGTTCAGTCAGTTAAGCCTCTGACTCTTGATTTCCACTCAGGTCATGATCTCACCCATTGTGAGTTTGAACCCCGTGTCGGGCTCTGTGTTGACAGCTCAGAGCCTGGAGCCTGCTCAGGATTCTGTGTCTCCTTTTTTCTACCTCTCCCTCCCTCATGCTCTGTCTCTCTCAAAAAACAAATAAACATGAAAAAAAAATATAAAAAAAAAAAGAAAACACTGGGGAAAAGCATACTTGATACTAGACAGTACTGCGTGTAGCACACATAGGCAAATGCTCAACTGTATTCTTTTGCTATGAAATCAACACACTCTAGTGCTACACACTGTGGCATAAAATACTATAGGCTTGAACACGGGCACTCTAATCATGTATTGACTGTCAGTGTCAAACTATGAAAAATGAATGGTTGTATTTTGGTATCGTGTGTTCGAATATGTGTTGTACCTTCTCTGCTTGGGACATTAAGAAGCCTACAACAGTGGTGTAACCACATTGCTATCTGAATATATTAATATAGCTCTTACATCATCTGACCCTCTGCCGAGCCGAGACAACAGAGAGCTGTCTCACAATGTGCTGCTGATAAAACTGAGTGTATGTGATATAATACCAATTCTGGGGTGCATGGGAAGAAGGCGTGTGGGATGCTATGCTGTGTAAGAGAGCCTGGGTTGGAGAGAAACCATGTGTGTGTGGAAGTGTGTGTGAAAGATCTTGTTTGTTACTCAATAGTGGCTGAATGATGATGTAAGTTGGTATGTGCTTTTAAGTATGTAGCTTGCATATAAGCAGTTATATGCATGTTTAAATTTAATATCAGTTTGAAATAGTGTGAATATCCACACACGTACACGCACAAAATGTATGTATGTAACAATAAAAATGATAATTTCAATAATTCTTGTCACTCTTCAGAGTTGCAATTAAGGGGAGCACAGAGAAAGAGAGAGAGAGAGAGAGAGAGAGAATCCCAAGCAGACTCCCCACTGTTAGCACAGAGCCCCATGCAGGGCTCAAACTCACGGAACTGCTAGTTCATGACTTGAGGCAAAATCAAGAGTTGGACACTTCACCAACTGAGACACCCAGGTGCCCCGGGCCTACTCTGTAAAGCAAAATGTTTTAATTTTGTTCTCAGTCCACATGCATTGGCGTCTCAGCTTGTTGGTGGAAGTAAAAGACTCTTCTCTTTGATGTGAGATTCCAACATGCTCCCTGCTACCCACATGCTCCTTCTCTTTATTTGGATGGCTCAGATAGACATGGGGAGGTCAGAATCTTGATACTGGGCCTCTCAGGGAACAGGTTCGAAACTGGGAGTTTTTGGAATTGATAAAAGTGACTGGCAGAGGAGATGAGGGGTGTGGCAGGACTCTGATGCTGGTCTCCTTTACTGTATGATCACCATTGTCACACATTGTCATATGTGTCATTGTCACAGTTTTGTCACAGAATCCTAATCTCATTTGATTCTTACACACAGTGCTTTGAAATAGGTTTGTATTACTCTCTTAAACAAATGAGAAATCATTTAATTATTAATGATTATTTATAATCAAATAAAATATGAGAAAACTAAAATTTAGTACCTTATCCCAGATAGTAGGTAGTAAATCCAGGATTAGGACATAGTTTTTTTTGATGGTTTCTTTCTATCATGCCATGATGCCCTGACTACTTGCTTTATCTGATGTGCCAAGACCCAGACCAAGCCCCATAGTTACTGAGGTTTTATGAGCAGCTGGTGTACATAGTGGTTAAGAGTCTGGATTCAGGAATTTAACAGACCTCTTTTTGAATCCTTGGCTCTGACTTCGGGCAAGTTCCTTTACCTCCATTCTGTAAAATGATGATAATGATAGTACCTACCTCATAGAGTTGTTGGAAGGATTAAGTACCATGTAAAGGTATTTATCATTTTGCTTAGAAGGTAATAAGTGCTTAACAAATGTTAGGTCTAATTGTATGATTTTTCTTTGAGACCGCCTGGTGAACCTAGACCCCGCTTTTGGCTCTAAGCCGTAACTAAGATTGTGAGAGCCCAGACAATAAAAAAGAATCAGAAAAATTCTAAATTTTCTTCTCATATGACTCATGAGCAATTAATTTCACAAAGTTTAGCTTGATATTTTACAGACTGTCTGTTCTTTAGTCAATGCTTTAAAACTTATTGAAATGTTTGCTTTTTAGAACAAGAATTTTGGCAGCTCTTATTCATTTTCCTATACTCCCAATCTGATGATCTAATGTAACTTGAGATGTTATTTCTAAAGACCTCAGTTGATAGTCTTCCTTAATATTCTGAATTTAGAAATAAAATATTTTTCAATGTTGAAGCTACATCTTACCCCAAGTTAATGAATAGAAATTTTTACTACTTATAGTATATATAATTATATACTGGTATAGTGTAAATACTAGTTGTATATATAGATAACAGTTGTTGTAGTTTAAAAAAAAAACTACCAAGATAGAAAAAGTAAAATCAGCAGCAATAATTTTTCTGTTAGGAATTAAACATTCAGAATGTCTCAGAAGAACTGAGGCAAAGCCATTTCTGAATTCCCAAGGAGAAACATATTGAATTAAAATAGCTCATGTATTGCGGTTGGATAACCTATCCAGGCTATGTTTATTGCAGGATTGGGTTGGGTTGCGAATTTTATGTGCACATTCTTGAAGCAAAGGATCTGATTTTCCACCCTCAGCAACATTTGTTAAAGCAAAAAGCCATTTAGGAAACCTTGAGGTTTGAATTCAGCATCCAGTAACTCGGTCTCTGAAAACCAGCTATTTGCTCAGAGGCTGGGAATAAGGCCAACGTTTGGATTCCAAACCAGTCTCAGATATCTGTTGATAGGTTTTTTTTTAATTTGTGTGACAGAAAAATGAGGTATCTGAATAGTGAATTGAATTATGTGGTGCAGAAGAGATCAAACCCCTGCCCTAAATAAACTGACCCCGTAATACAAAGTGGAATATGAAGAGAACAAGGAGCTTGTGCTTTTGATGTGCTGGAAGATGTGGGGGGAAATTTTCACCTCTCTGCCTTGCTTCTTTCCTTTGATGTTTGTTAGTCCTCAAGCACTAATGAAGAATCTATTCAGTTATGGAAAAGATGAAGGAAAGAGAGCATAGAATGGTCGTGCTGAAATAATTCATAGAGATCTTCTAGATTAGACCATTTGTTATGTTAATTTTTTAATGTTTATTTATTTATGAAAGAGAGACAGAGCACAAGTGGGGGAGGGACAGAGAACGAGGGAGACACAGAATCTGAAGCAGGCTCCAGGCTCTGACTTGTCAGCACAGCGCCCCACACGGGACTCCAACCCATGTACTGCGAGACCATGACCTGAGCCAAAGTCGGATGCTTAACTGACTGAGCCACACAGGTGCCCCCAGTTCAGTCATTTTATAGAGGAGGAAACTGAGGGATAGTTAGAGGCTGGGTCAAGATACAGCTCGGGCCTCCTTCCAGTCCAACTGTCTATAACATTACTGCCCACTCAGCCTCAGTTGTCCTTGGACACTTACTCTTCAGGCTGGATTCAGGCCTAAATCTCTGCTTGCTTTAAGCTTTTGTCTAGAAGTGGAATATCTTTCACTAAGTAGTTCCATATGGAGCTGAAGCAGGAAATAATGGGTAGTAAAAAAAAAAAAATCCCACACCCTGGAGGTTGGCTTAGTTTTTAAAACCCTAGAGTAGCCGCTGTCAAAGTGCACTGTCTCAGGGATCAGAGACATCCTAGGACTTGACAGAGTCTCATTTCCTCCCTGGGGCCCTCAGGCCCTGATTCTTGTTCTTTAGTTTATGCTTGAATTGAACTCTTGGCTGCTCTGGAAGCACCTGGGAGCAAGTCATCTTCTGTTTCAGGCTCCATTTCACAGTGGCGGGCTCCACCCTTGAGAAATCCTTAGGTCAGACTCAGCTTCAAGGGAGTGAATCCCTCCACGCTGCCACACCTCTTCTCTCTACTTTCATCCCTTCCACTCTGGCCAAAGGACTCACACACTCTTGAGCACATTCCTATAAATCCATATCCTCTTCATTTTGCACATACTTTTTTCTTTTACATCCATTGTTACTATATTGTTCTTGAAATTAATAATTTTAAAACAAAAAATTTTTAAAAAGTTAATGTTTATATATTTTTGAGAGAGAGATAGAGTGCAAGCTGGGAGAGGGACAGAGAGAGAGGGAGACACAGAAACTGGAGCAGGCTCCAGGCTCTGAGCTGTCAGCACAGAGCCCGATGTAGGGCCTGAACTCATGCGCCATGAGATCATGACCTGAGCCAAAGTCGGACATTTAACTGTCTGAGCCACCCAGGCACCCCAGAATAAGAAAACAATTTTAGAGGGCATGGCTGGAACTCTTAGGTCTGCCTTATTATAGTCAATAATTTAATAATGTTAATCCCAATAGTGTGTTATAAATGGAATAACTGTAATGTGCCAGGAAAGGAAATAACATCTTATTTTAATGTTTATTTATTTTTGAAAGAGCAAGACAGAGTGTGAACTGGGGAGGGGCAGAGAGAGAGGGAGACACAGAAACCAAAGCAGGCTTCAGGCTTTGAGCTGTCAGCACAGAGCCCGACATGGAGCTTGAACCCACAAACCATGAGATCATGACCTGAACCAAAGTCTGGTGCTTAACTTACTGAGCCACCCAGGCTCCCCAGAAAACAGCATCTTTTGCTTATGTGAAAACTCTTGTATGACATCTGAAGAGGAGAGAAATTAACTCAAAAGATAATCACTTCTGGTCCCACCATTTCTGGCCCTTTTCTACACATGTCAGCAAGCCAGAGAGGCTGGAAGCATACTGGACGGCCCCACGTCTACATCCCCCATTACAACCATCACTGGTTTCTATGTGGTGTGCTCCCTAAGTAGCTCCATTGAATCCATCCCATTCTCTGCTGCCACTGTCATTATCATGGTTCAGACTCTCCTTACTCTTGGTTAGTTTTGAATTGGCCTCCTAACTGGTCTATTTGCCTCTGGTCATTCCCGCTTCTGAACCCTCTTTCTCACCCTCTCACAAATTCATATATGTAAACATGTCATAGTGTGTCCAACTCTCACTTAAAACTTTTTGGTGGCTTGTGAGGCGCTCCTCACTTTTCCTGGCTAACCTACCTGTCCTCCACCAGTGCTGAACAGCTTGTAATTTCCCTACTGGTTCTCTATCCTTTCACATAGGTTGAGCTGTCTCTGCCTGCCTCTCCTCCCTTCCTCACTGTTTGCAAGTTTTAGTTTATTACCTCCTCTGAAAAATCATCTCTGACTTGTTCTGGCCAAATTAATTACCCCTTCTCCTTACAGCCCCTAAACCTTGTTCTTAAACCTGGTGTTGCATCTGTAATGTAATTATTTGTTTCTTACCCAATAGTCTGTGATTCCTTGAGACCAAGTTTATTGTCCTATTCGAAATTCTGTTCCTAGATCCTAGAGGAGTATATATTAGTCATTCTTTCATAGAAATACATATTGAATTTAGGTATAGAGTGATGAGAAAAACAGCTATCTTCTTGTTCATGAAATTCTCGAGCGTTGGACCCTGTCTTGCCTTTGCAATGGGGTCTGACATCTGGCAAGCAATCATTATAGACTGATGTATTGAATGAATTAACATATCATGCCTCTGTGCTCTGATACATGTTAGTCCCTGTTGGCTCAAAAAACATTCTGCCTACAATACAGAGAAGTTGAGCATGGTTCCTGCACAAGGATGCCATATGAATTCATGAAATGTTACATATTTTTTGAATCGCTTTGTTGTGCTTGAAACTAATGTCACACTGTGTGTCAACTCTACTCAAGTTAAAAAAAAAAAAAAGAACTGGGGCACCTAGGTGGCTCAGTCAGTTAAGCATCCAACTTTGGCTAAGGTTATGATCTCATGGTTTGTAAGTTTGAATGCATCGTTGGGCTCTGCACTGATAGTTCAGAGCCTGATGCTTGCTTCGGATTCTGTGTCTATTTCTCTCTCTGCCTCCACACTGCTCGCATTCTGTCCCTCTCAAAAATAAATAAACAATAAAAATAAATAAATAATAAATAAATAAATAAATTCTTCCTTTCTTTGTTCTAGCTCCATGGAAACGATAGGGCAAAATCAGCTGAGAATAAGCTTCAGAGTAAAATCTGGCTTTGTCACTCACAAACAGTGTGGCCTTGTTTCAGTTTTCTCTCCCTGTAAAATGGGCATGATAAAATATACTCTAAGGGTTGTTGGGATTAAATGAGACAATATATTTAGAGCACTTATCAGGATGCCTAATAGAGATAAAGCTCAGTAAGCAGGAACTATCAATTGTTTAATCCTTTAGGACTCAGATCAAGTGCCATTTCCTCTGGGAAGTCTTCCTTTACACCTTCTGACTCGCACCTGGGTTAGGGGCCCTGCCTACAAATCACTGTAACATTACATAGCATTGCAAGTGCATGTCTCTCCTAGCAGGTATCATGATTATCACAATTAATGGAACAACATTTTTGAGCTTCTACCAGATTTTAAATATGGAATATAGAGTGATGAGAGGAAAAAAAAATATTTTCTGGTTTGCGAACTCCTTGAGACGTCTACCCTGTCTTGCATTTGCATCTCTAGCATCTAATGTGATGCCTGATGTTCAGTAATTGACCAGTAGAGACTGACTCATTGAATGAATAAATGAATGGACCTACTCTGTTGTGTTCATAATTTTAATATTCTCTGCGCTTATTGGTTAGAATATTACATGAGTCTCGAGGGCTTCATGTTTCATTTTTAGCTACTCTAAATGTACATACACCATGCCAGCCTTCACCAGAGGCAGTGGCTGTTCTCAGTAAGTGAGATCATTCTATTCCTCTCTTCCAGATTCTATGACAAGGTGCTTTCTTTGCATGAGGACTCGGCAACCCCTGTGTCTAACCCTCTGCTTGCATTTACTCTCATCAAACGCCTACAGTCTGACTGGAGGAATGTGGTACATAGTCTGGAGGCCAGTGAGAACATCCGAGGTAATGAGGAAGAGGGCTGGAGGGTAAGAGAAAATTCTGTCTCCTGACTCTGGAAAGGAGAGAGATTCTGGTGGAATGTGATGAAGGGTAACGAAATGGGTAGGTATTTACTTGATCTTCTTAGCTCTAGCGATTACTAAGAACTAGGTCCCCTTGTTAATATGTTCATAAGAATGTATATTAGAAAGCACTTTCATATCCATTATTTCATTTGATCTTCACTATGACCCTATGAACAAGTACAGGTTATATCATCTATTTACATATTTGTCTGATAATTTCTATTTTATTAAATTGCCACTGTAATGTGATCTATATCAAGGTCAGTTTCCTAATTTATATTACTTTTGTTTTGTTTTTAACGTATTTATTTCCTTATTAAGATACGAAACATGAACATAAGGGAAAGGAAGGAAAATAATATAAAAACAGGGAGGGGGACAAAACATAAGAGACTCAAATATAGAGAACAAACTGAGGGTTGCTGGAGGGGTTTTGGGTGGGGGATGGGCTAAATGGTAAGGAGCATTAAGCAGGGTCCTTGTTGGGATGAGCACTGGCTGTTACACATAAGGGACGAATCACTGGATTCTACTCCTGAAATCATTATTGCACTATATGTTAACGAGGATGTAAATTTTTTTAAATTTTATTTGTTTTTTGAGAAAGATAGAGAGAAAGCAGGGAAAGGGCAGAGAGAGAGAAGGAGAGAGAGAGAATCCCAAGCAAGCTCTGCACTTTCAGCCAGAGACGGATGAGGGGCTTGATCCCATGAACTGAGAGGTCATGACTGAGCTGAAATCAAGAGTCGGATGCTCAACTGACTGAACCACCCAGGCACCCCTAATTTATTCTGTTTTGTACTTGACAAAATGTTTTGACTTTGGGGAAGTTATGAGGAAGAAGAGTTGTCTCTACAAAGGACAATATTTCTGGAGACAGAGGATAGAACAATACACGTGTGCTTCAGTTTTTACTCTAAAACTTTTTTCCCTCATTTAGAAGATTTGTGTTAGGCATCTGCTCTGTGCCAGGAATTGCACTTGCCACGGGGAATAAAAAGACAGAAAACATTATCTTTGCTCATGAAATATTTGAATAGGTGATTATGCCTTACATGTATCAAATGCTCACCACCTGTTTTTTGAAGGGTGGATTGATGTTTTTACTGCCCTCACAGCTTTGAAAGATGGTTATGAAAAGGTTGAGCAGGACCTGCCAGCCTTTGAGGACCTTGAGGGAGCAGCGCGGGCCCTGATGCGGCTACAGGATGTGTACATGCTCAACGTGAAGGGCCTTGCCCAAGGTGTCTTTCAGAGAGTCACTGGCTCCGCTGTCACTGACCTGTACAGTCCCAGACGGCTCTTCTCCCTCACAGCAGATGACTGCTTCCAAGTTGGCAAGGTAACAATATTCAGAGAGAGAGCGAATTGTTCAGCTCTAATTTCTCATGGATGAAATAACTATATCCTGATTGCTTTTACATATTTCCAATCCTTCCAGCAAACTTGGAAACCTGGTATTATTCCCCATTTTCATATGAAGAAGCCGAGGATCAGACAGGGTAAATAATTTGCCCAAGGTTACACAATTTTAAGTAGCAGAAATAAATTCTGAACCTGGGTCTTTTAACTCTGAATTGCATGTTCCTTCCATGATAGCTAAGGTGATCACATATGCAGGACACTTTTGAGAGTGAAGGGGGTGTTATTAGTTATGCCAGGACGACAGACAAGCTGGGACTGAGCTGGGGAAAATGGTCCTGTGGTCACCCTAACAAAAGCACCCTGCCAGCAGATGAACAGCTGGGTAGAGAGGAGAAGCAGGGTCCAAGGGTGGGGAAAGGGATAAGAGGCGGAGATGTGAAGGTAAGATCATGGAAATTCAGCTGCCTGAGACTTTCTGGAATCCCTTGCAACATTTTCCAAGCAGTTAGAAGTACTAAATTCAAGTAGTCTCAAAAAATTGTGGCCATGTACTTTAACATTCCTTGAGGAAATAGCCTTCAGGAACCTTCCATATGAGATATTAAACCAATCTTTGATCATAACTTATAAGCACACTTGAGGTCATTTTACAATATACTCTTTGTTAGCATTTGCCTTATAAGTAATGGAGTAAATCCTTTTTAATTTTGGAGATGTGCATTGCAGGAAAGTGAATTTTCTCAGCCTCAACAGTATTCATAAGCAGACATGAGAGTGGGCCTCAGGTGCCCTGATTTCAAGTTTCAAGGATCAATCTTCCAAATTAATAAAGGGTGTGTTGCCTAAGCCTCTACCATTTTTACTTTTTTAAGATTGTAAATGGAATCAGAGCTCAATCATCAGGCTCATGGCTAATTTAAATTTAAGCCAGTTGAAATAGCTCTGTGTGTGGAACCAATGCACGCTTCATTTGTGAGGCCTTTATGAGACTAAAACCATATGTTGAAAATTCAGTAAGTCACTTCCTGAAAGCTTCATTGGCAATCTTAATTCTGTATTTATTTACTTATATTCAAAGATAAAACATTTCTAATATAAAAGAAGTATATAAAGTAACAAGCAATTATATCTATAACTGAGATGAAATATGTTTAAATTTTGCAATATTTGTTTCAGATTTTTAAAAAGGAATTTACATAAAACTTACGACATTAAAATTAATATTAAAAAATGAATTTAAGCCTGATTCTGGACTCAATCCCACAAACTGTGAGATCAGGACCTGAGCTGAAGTCCATCGCTCAACCAACTGAGCCACCCTGGTGTCCCACAAACCACCTTTCTTGACTCTTTGTGACAGTGGGCAGAACTATACCTCTTTTAAGGTATAGTTCTTCATGGATTTCAGTTTTTTGGTGTGACTTCGTTCCAACTCCTAGCTTTGGGGAGGTGTGTGGAGGGCTCACATGCTGTCCTCATGTGGGTATTTTAACTAAAGGTTGCTAAGTACCAGGACTACCAAACTAACACTCCACCCTTTAGCATCTGCTCTTATGTTTATTGCTTGAGTTTTTAGCTCCTTTTTTGTTTCCTGTACCTGGATATTTTCCATTCTTTCTTGAAAATGTAAAATTTTTGTTACATTTTATTCAAAAGTTCTAAGTAGTTTTGGTTAGAAGGATTCTAGGGAAAGCTTAATTAAATAAACTGTTAACTTAGCAGAAAAAGTTGAGTCATTTTGATTGTTATTCTTCAACTCAACCTTTTTACAAACAGAAAACCTGAGGATCAGAGAAATAACACAACAGATTAATGGCAGACCTGGAACAGCCACTGATTTATTGTTTAGACTGAAGAGTTTTAGTACCTCTAGGCTCTGCCCTGTCTTTCTGCCAGTCTGGAAGTTATACCAGAATTAGATTATTTTGCAAAAGTGCTTCCAACTCTGTGACTTTATAATTCCATGCTGTCTTCAACACCAGCTTCCAGGAAATTCCACCTGCAGTGCTGGTATTGTAGTTAACTGTAAGCTATTAGGATACAGAAGATGGGTTTAGTACATATTGCCATATTCCCACCTTCCAACATTTAACACAGAAAAAATGCACTGAGGTCTTAGAGCATTCCCATGTAGGTCTAATAACATTGTGTTGCAATTACTGGTTTACTCTTGTGCCCCTCATTTGACTGCAAGCTCTAAGGTCAGGGATCGCCAGAGTGGGAAAATACTGGGTAAATAATGAATGAATGAATGAATGAATGAATGAATAAATAAATTCGATCTGTTTCTCACATTGCTATTGGTGGTATCTTCTTAAAAATATGACACTCACAACTCTTATTAGCTTAGCCTATGCTGCCTTTTGAAGTTCATTTCCTGTTTTTCTTCACCTTAGGCTATAATCGCAATGTCCTACCTGAACACAAACTTGCTTTGGGCGTCTGTTTCTGCCATTCCCTCATCTTAAAATGTACTTCTTCTCAATTTATGCTCCTTGAAATTCTTTTCTTTTTCAGGGGAGGCCTACCAGATGCCAGTTCTTCTATGAAGCCTTCTGAGATTCCCAAGTCTCCCCCTTCTCTGCCTTTGTGACATATTATGCATATTTCCTTTGAGTATTCCTGTCATTCTGCCCAGTATTACAGTTAATTGAGTTTCTGTATCTCTCTTTTCCCCAGATTATGAATTCTTAAATGCGTTCTTTAAATGTATCTTCTCTACATATAGAACAATGTATTGGATATAATGGATCCTTAATAAATTGAATTTAAATGAATTTGAGATGAAAACTTGCCTCCTGGTGTTCCATAGGCTCTCTCTCACTCTTTGTCATTTCCTTTACTCTACCCTTGGATTAAGGTTTAATGACGGTACTTATCTTGCCTACAGGTGGCCTATGACATGGGGGATTACTACCATGCCATTCCATGGCTGGAGGAGGCTGTCAGTCTCTTCCGAGGATCTTATGGAGAATGGAAGACAGAGGATGAGGCATGTTTAGAGGATGCCTTGGATCACTTGGCCTTTGCCTATTTTCAGGTAGGGGAGTAAGTGAGGCTTACTACTTTTATCACAATAAGTATAGTGCTTTATATCTGCTTTACAATTTTCTATGCATTTTCATGTCTCTCAATTTATTTCATCTTCCCAACAGGACCAAATGTGAGTCAGGCAGGGCAGTTGTTTTATTATTTCCATATTTCACATGTGAGTAAACTAAATCTCCAAAAAATTCCTAACTTGTCACAAAGTTCATAGAGCTGAGATTAGAGTCCACAGCTGTCTGACTCTGTCTGGTGCTCTTTCCAGTGCCTTGACTGCTTTAAAATCCTCTTCCGTGTAGAAGGAGGCAGTCTCCCATCTGTAGCGCAGCAGCTGCATTGACAAACGTCTAATGGGTTCTTAGTCAATGTAGATCACTCCTTTGCACTGTCAGCAACTCTTATCTCTTCACAGATGTTCTGGCACGATAGTGCCAATATCCAAAGAAGTTTGATTATTACTGTAGAGCCCCAGGGCAGGCTGTCCCAGGATGGGCCACTTTGGCATAAAGATTATTTTGAGTTAAAAGTAACCAAAACCAACCAGATGCAGGAAAATATCTCTCTGCCTCCCTGCAAATGCCAAAATTCACATTGGAAAGGAGAGCCTGTAACAGGAAGAGAACTATAAACAGAGACTCCCCCTTACCTAAGAAACTTAAGGGCCTAATAAGACAACCTTGTTTTTCCAAACAACTCCTTTCACCTTCTTACTAATGATCTTCCTCTCCTTTGTGTCCTCTAGCCTTATTCCTCTCCTTAGCTCATATAAGCTTCCTGTTGCCTCATTGTCTTTGGAATTCTATGTCTATATGGATTCTCCATACATATGCCTATTAAATTTTATTTTCTCCTGTTGACCTGTCTCATGTCAGTTTGATTCTCTGTCCAGCTAGAAGGACCATAGGGCAGAGGAAGTTCATCCTCCCTAAGATTATCCTCTCTCACCTTCAGTTGAGTCCCGCTGTAATTATGAGTAGCTGCTGGTTACAGAGCTAGAGTCATTGGTCTGCAGTACCAACTCAGTGCCTCCTCCAGGTGTTGCTTTTCCTTGGCACCTGATCTATGAGCTATTGTAGATCCTCCCGTGGAAGCTCATTTCCCTAAATATGGGATCTGTCATCCTTTTATATAGTTAATCCCATTTCCCACCAGAATTGTATAGTCTTTAAGAATAGACTGGAAATATCATTTACAGAGTCAATTCCTTAGAATTTCCAAAGCTAATAAACCATTTCGGCTCCCTACATTCCTTTCTCTTTCCCCCTTTTCCTAAGAAAAAGGAGGAGGACGTGGGTGGTCCAAACCCACATGTTGCTGCCAAAATGGATTTATTCTCTGTGTAGTAAATGGGCCTCTTCCTCTTATGGAGGTTCCTGGTAAGTGGATCTTGGTTGTAAAACTTTCCAGGATGCTCTTCCTAACTCTCCTGCTCAAGTTGCTGCATGTTAAAGCTGAAACAGAATCACTGTGGTGCAACTAAGGGCAAGAAGAGATTGAATTTTAATAGAGGAAGAAAATGGAGGATTGACATAGAGACTAGAAAAAGATAAACTAAAGAGCAGCTTACCCTGAGAGACAGAGCTTTAAATGTAGCGCCTGAGTATTAGTTTTGGCTTTTCCCCCCTGTACTGAATTGGATTTCTCTTCTGCTCACTGGTAGACTCTCCCTTTCCACAATTGTGCTTTGTCTGGTAAATTTTATTCATCTCACAGGGCATGGCTCATATGTCACCTATTTTGTGAAGTCTTTCTTAATTCTCCTCAGACCCCTTAGACTTTCCTTCTTTGTGTTCTTACAGCATATTCTTTTAATACGACAATAGTAGAACACATAAGGCATTGTTTCATAGACAATTTATGGTCGCCTTGTTAACCCTTGTAAATCTGGGATGGATGCCCCTCCATGGACATTTTGTTATCATGTAACAACATATATGATATACACCAGGAAAAATATTATAATATGTAATACATATAATAGCATATACTATATAATACTATATATCATATAATAGTTTTTCATGATATATTTTAGTTAAAAATTATTTCAGTAATTGTTAATAATGATTAAATCACAGGTTCTGAAGTCAGACTGACCTGGGTTCAAATTCTATGAAAATTTGGGCAACTTACGTAACTTACTTAACTCCCCGGATCTAAATTTTATTTTATTTTATTTTAATTTTTTTAATGTTTTATTTATTTCTGAGAGAGAGAGAGAGACAGGCAGTATGAACAGGGGTGGGTCAGAGAGAGAGGGAGATACAGAATCTGAAACAGGCTCCTGGCTCTGAGCTGTCAGCACAGAGTCTGATGCAGGGCTAGAACCAACGAACCGTGAGATCATGACCTGAGCCGAAGTCGGATGCTTAACCAACTGAGCCACCCAGGCGCCCCAATTTTATTTTCTTTAAAAGAGGAATAATAAATGATGCTGTTAGGAAGTGGGCTGTTGGGGGTGGGATAGTTCTTTTCTAATCTTCTGAGTTCTTGACTGAGACCTCCCTATCATAAAAAAACAGATTAATCAGAGGAAAAATAAACAACAGTTTATTTCACATATACCTTCTGTATACATGAGAGATGGGGTTGGGGAATGAGGAATTCTTTGAGGTGATTGAAGCTGCCGCCTTAAATACCATCTCTAGCTACAGAAAATAGGAAGAAAGGTGTGGAGGAGACCAATTCTGGGGGGTTACCAGGAAAAGCAAACAAGGGTAAAGTTGTTATGCAGATTTAAGTGACCCTTCTCCTTGATAAGATACTCATATGATTCAAAGTCAAACTTCTTTTCTAGGTACGCAGAGAGAGACACTCTTACCAATGGAGGTTTCCTTTATAAATGTAATTTTCTCTTACAAAAAAAGTAACTTCTCTGGTTTTTCAGAACTCCTCCTGTGTCTCCCATTTCTCAAAATAGTTAGCTCAAAATAATCCATATGCCAAAGAGGCATATTCTGGGGTGGCCTATTCTGCTCCCCTTCAATACTCACTCAAAGGGTTGCCATGAAGATTAAATGAGCTAGTACATGTATAGCCCTCAAAACAGTTCATGATACATATTCACTCAACAAGTGTAAACTATTCTTATACACTACAAGTATATGTTTTCCTTTTTCATTTAACCTTCCTTAGTGCACACATTTCCAAATAAATTTAACTGGGACATCAAAAGACCTTTGTTCTTGATAAAATATAATTTTCTCATGAATAAGCCTTTGAGTTTTAAAAAATACGTAAAATTGTATTTCAGTTTTCTTCATCTCAAAAGAATTTGAAAAGCTATAATCGTGAGTTAATAATCTGACATTATAAAGTATCAGTAGATTACTTAACTATCCCTCTGTTAAATATGCAACAGAATAACTAATAGTATTAAATAAGTACAATCTATACATCTGAGTCCTCTGTGATGTAGCTTCTAGATGGAATAAAATGCAGCTGTTAAAAATGTTTCTCTTGTATGACCACATTCATAGCAGCATTATTCACAGCAGCCAAGAAGTGGAAGCAACACAGGTGTCCACTAAGGGATGAATGGAGAAACAGAATGTGGTATATCCATACAATGGGATATTATTCAGCCTTAAAAAAAAAAAAAGGAAGTTCTGTTACATGCAACATCATAGATGAACCTTGAGGACATTATGCTAAAAGAAATAATAAGCCTATCACAAAAAGACAAATACTGTATGATTGCACTTATATGAGGTATCTAAAATAGTCAAATTTATAGGGACAGAAAGTAGACTGGTGGTTGCCAGGGGCTGAAGGAAGGGGACAGTTGAGAGTTGTTGGGTACAGAGTTTTGGATTTGCAAAATGAAAAAATTTTGGAGATTGGTTGCACAACAATGTGAATATATTTAACATTACTGTACACTTAGAAATGGTTAAGATGGGAAATTTATGTTGTGTGTTTTTACCATATGCCATCTCTGAAGACTATGAAATGATATAAATAGTACTCCTGATAACAATGTACAGTGAAACAATCAAGATATGATAATGTATAACAAATATGACTATAATAACTGTATAAACACTGTGTCATCTATGTGCCTGGGTTTCAGCAGAGCATTTTTTTTCCTATTTCTCCTGTTTCATAGTGTGCTTATTATTGCTTTTTTCATTAAACATGATTTTTTAAATGTGCAAAATTGAAATGATCAGAAGAAGTACAAATCTATCAGTTCATCATAATTCCTTGGGACCCAGGGCAGTTTCACAGTCCACCTACACTGAGTTCTGTTTCCCAGGTTTGTCTGGAAAGCCCTTGTGTACTTCTGACCATGTGCAGCCCAACGTCCAATGGCGGCTGGAAGAGGTCATTACAGTTTGGTGGGAATGTTTCAGGTTCAGTTCTTCTGTTGCCTCCCTCCCACTTCCTTCGTAGACTCTAGGAAGGACTGTGCCTGGAGAACAAATTATATTTTTACTAGGGTTTTTAGAGTTCCTTATTAAGTTTAATAATGAAATATACCAAAATAACAACACCCCATGATTGTGTGGGTTTGCATGCTGTAAGATTTGAGGGCACTTTAAGAAAGTTCCTTTTTCATTTATTTTTCTACCTTCCCTGGTAAGGGTGGTAATGAGTCATTTGTAAATGAGGAAACTGAGGAGACCTGAGTTGCATTAGGGCTGCAAATCTGAATTAAGATCAAGAACTTCTACATTTCTAGTCTGCTGCTCATTTCAATGAGTCTTATTGTCTACTTGTGGTAAGAGTGTTTTATAGTTTTTTCTAAAAATCCATTTAATGATTTGGTCAAAGGAAATATCCCCAGTATAGTTAACTTTTCCTTTTCTTTCTTTCTTTTTGTTTTATAGGCCGGCAATGTTTCCTGCGCCCTCAGCCTCTCCCGAGAGTTTCTTCTTTACAGTATGTAATGATAGGAGATAAGCCACAACTCTGATACACTGGGAAATCCCTTCTGCTTCTGGCCTTTAATCCCTGCAAGGAAAAGATGGCTATGTGTTTTTATTTTTTCTAATTTTATGATCCAAGCCACATTTCTTATTCTGGATCGAATCTCACCTATCTATTGATCAATGCAGCAGGGGGAAGTTTTTTGTTTTGTAGGAAAATGCTAAGAAGGTATTATACCTTTCTCCTCCACTCCCAGCCGGCTATATGTTACTGTTGCTTCAGTGGTGAACAAGTCCAGGACTGGGAGCAAATGAAGTCCGTGAGAGTGCTGTGTGCAAGGAGAGTGAATACCTTCTCAGGATAACTCATTTTGGCTGTTTCCACAGAGAGATCAGTCCTTCCCTTTAAACCAGAGTTTACTTGGCTATTAAGCATCCTGCCTAGTTAGGGCAGGGCTCAGCTTCACCCCTTGTCAGGCAGCGCATCACCAGAGTTAAACAGGAGGGAGACTTCCTAGCTTAGCCCTCTGCTTGGAAATTTTTGCTTAAAATTTTGGTAGAAGATGGTTTCCCACGTTTCCCTCTAATAAGATACTGAGATACTCAGGGCGCCTGGGTGGCTCAGTCAGCTAAGCATCTGACTTCAGCTCAGGTCATGATCTCACAGGTCATGAGTTTGAGCCCCGTGTCGGGCTCTGTGCTGACAGCTCAGAGCCTGGAGGCTGCTTCAGATTCGGTGTCTCCCTTTCTCTCTGCCCCTCCCCTGCTCACACGGTGTCTCTCTCTGTCTCTCAAAAATAAATAAGCATTAAAAAAATTTTAAAAAGATATTGAGATACTAAGGTAACTAAATACTCACTATTATATTTTAATATTTATAAGGTATTTCACATAGGACTTTGCAATTGTATGTATTTATCACTTCTTAATGAATCGATTTAGTAACATTATTCCATTCTGATAATCGGGCAAACAGTAGGATAAGGAAGTAGCCGTATGGTCTGGAAACATGTGAGCAATTAAAACAGGCAAAATGATAACCCAATCCTTCTTTATTTCTTTGTGCTTGATCTATTAAAATCCCTGTCTGTCCCAGAGAACCCAAACTGTGCACAGTTATAGGTGGATAAGCAGGACACAACAAATTGAGATTACTGGTTTCATTTCTGGCTTTGCAATATTTTCACTGAGGTTTTGGGCTCATCATTTCCATTCTCCCAAACTTCATTTCCCTTTTTGTTAAAAAAAAAAAAAAAAAAAAAAAACATGGTAACACTATCCCCTCTTTTACCAGGGTGGTGGTGGTGATAGTTAGGAGCACACTGAGCTCCTCAGAGAAAGATGCTTTGGAAATATTAGAACAATTCAGCACATCCTTCTGAGAGGCACTGAAAATCATGCACAGAGGCTACCAGGCCATGGGTGGCTGCCAAACCCTTGGGCATCTTACAGCCAAAGTGGGTACCAACAGGTGCGCATAAATAAGACATAAGAGCCCTGTGGGAACCCAGGCTAGAACCGAAGTCTAGAACTCCCTTGTCTCATATTGTACTGTTCTGTATCTAGGCCAGTTAAGGATTTTTCAAGAATCTAGTAGATTTGGAAATGAATTAATTAGCTTTCACTGCTCCAGCGAAGAATAGGTTGGGTCTCTCTGCTATAGGCTTTGGCTCTCTGGACTTCTCTTCCATGGCATTTACAGGTTTCATTGTAAGTAGTTATTGAACATATCTTTTCTCCATTAGGTTCTAAACTCTGAGAAGTTAGTCTCTAGCACTGCATCCAGTACATGGTAGATATTCACTGAACATTTATTGAATGGGTGAATGAATGAATGAATGAATGAGTGAAGCTTCTTCCCTATACATAAAACTTACCATCACGCTATCTGAGAACTGTCATCCTTATGATCCCTTGGTTTGACAGTGTTAAGTACCACTTTCCTTCCAAAGTCCTTTGCGCCTTCAGATCTACCAGGCCTACCTCAATCTTCTTTAATGTCAGGTACCTTTCTGGGAGTGAGGGTCTTCCATCCTCCTGTACATGGACACAGGAGTTATTCAGGGTGTGCAGTGGTTGGTCATGTGCAACAGGGAAGCTGTAGGAAACCTTAGAAGCACTCACTGCAACCGCTGTTTGGTAATCTGTATTATTCCCTGCTCTGCTTTCCTCCAGGCCCAGATAATAAGAGGATGGCCAGGAATGTGTTGAAATATGAAAAACTCTTGGCAGAGAGCCCCAACCAGGTGGTAGGTGAGGCTGTCATCCAGAGGCCCAATGTACCCCACCTGCAGACTAGAGACACCTACGAAGGGTTATGTCAGACCTTGGGGTCCCAGGTAAGATTCCTCAGGGAAAGATAAAGAGGGAAGAGGCTTAGCTAGAGAAAGAGAAGGTAGAATTGGAAATGATGTGAGGGGAAAAGGCTGATGCATTAAAAAAATCAAGCTCATTTGGACGGCATCAGAGTGACTGCATTCTGAATCTCCCGCGTGCTAGGATTTTATGCCGTAGTTCCCCTATATTGGCTTCTGCTCCTAGACCCTTCATGTCTTATGCTGATTCTAAGCTTTCCTTCTAGCCTACTCACTACCAGATCCCTAGCCTCTACTGCTCCTATGAGACAAATTCCAGCCCCTACCTGCTGCTCCAGCCCATCCGGAAGGAGGTCATCCACCTGGAGCCCTACATTGTTCTCTACCATGACTTTGTCAGTGACTTGGAGGCTCAGAAAATTAGAGGACTTGCAGAACCATGGGTGAGTGTCCCCAAAGCCTGCCAAGAACTTCTCTTTGTGTCATCACATGCCTGGAGTTCAAGAATGTGAGAACAGTCAGCCTGAACAACTACACACTGTATCCGGCCAGGAATTCAAAATGCCAGCCATTCCATACAACAAATCAATGGTGGAAAAAAATCACAGTAGCTGTTGGTTCTCAGAGGAGGAAATTGGCTGGGAAAGGGGACAGGGGCATTTTCTGGGGTGTTGAAAATGTGCTCTTGATATCTTGTTAGGGATGTGTAGTATGCAGCTGTGTGCATTTGTTAAAATTCAGCAAATGGTATACTTGAGATCTGTACATATCATTATATGTAAATTTTACCTAAAAATTTCAAAAGTAAGTATCCCTCCTTCCCAATGTCAATCATTCCACACAATGGGTAGAAATTTCTTTTTAAGAAAGGGTGAGGCGGTTGGAGCATCTGGGTGGCTCAGTCAGTTAAGCATCTGACTTCCACTTAGGTCATGATCTCATGGCTCGTGGGTTCAAGCCCTGCATCAGGCTCTGTGCTGATCAGCTCAGAGCCTGGAGCCTGTTTCAGATTCTGTGTCTCCCTCTCTCTCTGCCCCTCCCCAGCTCATGCTCTGTTTCTCTCTGTCTCAAAAATAAATAAACATTAAAAAAATTTTTTTTAAAAAAAGGGTGAGGGGACACCTGGCTGGTTCAGTTAGAAAAGCATGCAACTCTTGATATCAGGCTCATGAGTTCAAGCCCCTGGTTGGGTGTACAGAATACTTAAATATATATATAAAAAAAAACTTTAAAGAAAAGGGTAAAATGATGGGTAAGGAATTATATCCTAGTACAGATTTACAGAATTACAGAGTAGAAAGATTAGTTTAAGTAGGTTATTTTATTAAAGAGGAAACAAAGGCCCAGAGAGGGGAAGATACTTGATGAAGGTCACATATGTATCTAGAGCCAGACTTGGAATTTAAGGGTATGTCGAGGGCTGCTCTGTAATTCTGCCTTCCTATCTCAGCTAACTTAGGCTAAATTATGTTCAGTAACAAACAGCCCCCAGATCTCAGACACAACAACAAAGGTTTATTTCTTACATTATGCGTCTGCTTTGGGTTGGCTGCAGTTATGGCATAGAACTGTCCTCACTTTGAGACCCAGCCTAACAGAGCAGCCTTTGTTTGGGACATTTCCAGTCTCATAGGAGACAAAAAAGACAGAGATGGGCAAACTCCTAGCTGGCTCCTAAAGCTTCTGCTTCGAAGAGCCAGACAATACTTTTGTCTTTGTTTCATTGGTCAAGGCAAAGCTTGTGGCCACAATGAGTTTAATCCTCCCCCAGGAAGTGTGGCAAATATTTAGAAAAATACCACCATCTCTCTCATTTTTATAAGCATGTTGCCTCTTTACAAATGGCATATTAAGGCTGTTACTGAATTACTTATGTCATCGTGCCCTTGATGGTAGCTGTTCATCCAGGCAGTTATTTGGCTGTTCACCAATAGTACAGAGCCTGCTGTGGGCCACACATTGTTCTGGGTGCTGGACAGGCACAGAGATTAAGTACTGGCTCTTTCCCTTTGGGGGCTCACAGCTTAATGGGGGAAGACAGATATTTACACTGCCCTGTGATAGGTGCCATCATAGAGGTGTGTGCAGGGAGCTGTGCTGTGGCGGCATCACAAAGTGAACCTTCCTCTGAGGGAAAGGCAGATGGGAGAGGAGGGAGAAATGGAGGCTTCTCTGCGCATGTGAAATTCATCAGAGTAACAAGATGGCAATAGGGTATTGCAGAAAGACAAAACCATATGCAAGGACGTCATCTCATATGCAGTGTGTTCAGAGAATGGGGTAAAGCTTTGCTGAAGTGCACAAGGGATGGGGTCGAAGGTGATTAGAGACGAAGCTACATGGTGAGATGCCATGAGGAAGTGCTGAAAATCCCATGCTGGGGAGCTTGGATGCTATCCCATAGGCAGGGGAGAGCTGTCGGATGGGTTAAACAGGAGATGGGCATGGTCAGGCCTGTTGATTTCAAGGAAGATTTTGCCAGCAGACGTGGATTGGAGGAATAAGAGTAGCAGTAATCATCTCATCCAGAAGCCCCTCCGGCGAAGTCTGGAATCTGTGTGCAGAAGACTTTTGAGAGATTAAGCTTCACTGGTCAATTGGAACAAAGTACCTTTAGTAGCTTTGGCATCTTACTGAGCCAGTGGTGGTATTTGGCCAGCGGCTACTTTTTCCTTAGGACAGGCAGCCCACCCGGCAGTCCTTTGTGGCCAGGTCATCTATTTGGCCTGCACAGACATTGCCACTCTCCCTTTTCCCAGAAGCTCATCTGGAGATGCCTATCCCTGTTTGGTCTTTGGCTTTGCCAGGAATAAGCCTTGGCTCATAGGGTGGGGCTGCTGCCTGGGAACTGAGCCCAAAGGCTTCGGTGGCTTGTGTTGAATTTAATTAATCTGCTTCCCATCCCAGAGAATGCTGTCTTGCCACTTCTCCCTCTGCCCACATCCTACCCATTCCTGAAATGTGCCCCCCTGGGCCCACTAGCCCTGTCACTTTGGTCCACTTTCATGGGCTCTTTCAGTAGAACTTTTTTTTTTTTTTATTCAGAGCATTTCTTGGGGCTACGTACAAAAACTTCTCTTTTTTGAATGCAAAGCTTTTGTCACCAGTTGTCTAGTCCTTAATTTTTTTCATTTATTCTGCCATTTTTCTGTCATCTGGTATCACTTTGTTTTCTTTTACAGTTTATTGTCAAGTTGGTTTCCATATAACACCCAGTGCTTATCCCAACAAGTGCCCATCACCCCTCTGCCCCCTCCCCACCCCCATCAGCCCTCAGTTTGTTCTTAGTATTTAAGAGTTTCTTATGGTTTGCCTCCCTCCCTCTCCTTAACTATTTTTTCCCCTTCCCCTCCACTATGGTCCTCTGTTAAGTTTCTCCTTTCCACATATAAGTGAAAACATAGAGTGTCTGTCCTTCTCTGCCTGACTTATTTCACTTAGCTTAACACCCTCGAGTTCCATCCACGTTGCTATAAATGGCCAGATTTCATTCTTTCTCATTGCCATGTAGTATTCCATCGTATAGAGAAACCACATCTTCTTGATCCATTTGTCAGTTGATGGACACTGAGGCTCTTTTCCATGATTTGGCTATTGTTGAAAGTGCTGCTGTGAACACTGGGGTACATGTGCCCCTACGCATCAGCACTCCTGTATCCCTTGGGTAAATTCCTAGCAGTATCACTAGCTGTTTCAAGGGTTAGCATCCTGTGTCCTCAACTAGACTGTAAAGTAGGAGGGATGGTATGCCATCCTTCTTGGGATGCCTAGCTGCCCCATATTATGCCCAAGGCAGCCAGAGTAAGCTTTAAAAGGTTGCATCTGATCATGTCAAGCCCTTGCTTGAACTCCTTTATGGGTCACTTTAATTTAGTCACTTAATGCTCTTTGGCCTGCCTGTTGCTCATCTGCTTCACAGCATGTGCCCCTTGCACTTGACACCTCAGCCTCACTAAACAACTTGCACCTCCACGAATAGACCATGGTTTCACTAGCCTGCACACACTCTTCTCTCTGCCTAAATCACTCTTCCCTTGGCCTCTTTTCACCTGTATGATTCCAGTTGTCTTTTGCGCATCCTGGGAAGCCTTCCTGTCCCCCATCAGAAGGGACTACATGCTCCTTCTTAATGTTTGTTTAGTGCCCTGTACTTGTCCATTATGGTCTCACTGCAGACTCATGTCTGCTCCATATGTTGTATTTCCAGTGCCTAGCATGGGGCTCAGCACAGAGAATAATCAATAAATATTTGCCCCCACAAGTGAATGACTTGCTGGTGTACAATAAATGTTAAAGGGATTAAGAGCAAGGTGGCTTTTTAGTGGGGAGGGAGGTGGAGTGGAGAATCCCTAGGATTTTTCTTTATTTTATTTTATTTTTTAAAGTTTGTATTTATTTATTTATTTATTTATTTATTTATTTATTTATGAGAGAGAGAGAGAGAGAGAGAGAGAGAGAGCATGAGCAGGGGAGGGTCAGAGAGAGAGGGACACAGAATCTGAAACAGGCTCCAGGCTCTGAGCTTGCAGTCAGCAAAAAGCCTGACGTGCGGCTTGAACCCACGAACTGCGAGATCATGACCTGAGCTGAAGTTGGATGCTTAACCGACTGAGCCACCCAGGCTCCCCCCCTTGGATTTTTCTTTAAACCACTGATGTTGCCCTAGAAAAACATGAGTAACTCCTCTAAGAATGTCTCCTCTATCCTTTACAAAGGTCTCAGGGGAGGATGCCAGGTGAAGGACTAGACAGAAGAATTATCAGTCATCTGCTGATTTCCTGCATCCTGGTACCATACAAGGATAGGCTGAGAGGACCTCACAAGAATGTGTTGTTCACATGCTGCATTTTATAGCGAGGGTAATGGGTCCAAGGAAAGGATGAGACTTTTTCAAAGTTGTCTACCTGGTTTAGCAGCAGGAACAATAATACTATAGAAGCCTCCAAGAAAGGAAAGGGTGTATGTCTTGCTCAGTTCATTGCCCTCTGTTCTGCTCTGAATGCCTGTGAAGTGCCAGGGTTGGGTCATTAAGTACAGGACTCTGGCTCATTCATTCATTCATTTGTTCATTTCACCAATATTGAGCACCTACTCCCTGCCAAGCTTTCTCTGGACCCTAGAGACACAGGAATAACAAGACTTGTCATCATGGAGGTGACATTCTGATGACAGATGCAGAAGTAGACACATCCTTATATAAATATTTCTCTTTCTGGGGTGCCTGGGTGGCTCAGTTGATTGAGTGTCTGACTCCTGATTTTGGCTCAGGTCATGATCCAGAATTCTGGGATCAAGCCCCGTGTCAGGGTCTGCACTGAGCATGGAGCTTACTTAAGATTCTTTCCCTTCTTCCCTCTCTCTCTGCTTCGGGGAACCTGGGAAGGCTCAGTTGGTTGTGCCTGACTGGCTCAGATCATGATCTCACAGTTCCCGAGTTCAAGCCCTACATCAGGCTCTCTCCTGTCAGCCCAGAGCCTGCTTCGGATTCTCTGTCTCCTTCTCTCTCTGCCCCTCCCCTTCCCATACTTTCTCTCTCTCTCTCTCAAAAATAAACATTGATAAGAAGATTCTCTCCCTCTCTCTGTCTCTCTGTCTTTCTCCCTTTGTCCCTCTCCCTAATAAAAAAAAAAGTTATCTTTCTGTTTCTGGTACAGTACTTTTGCAGTTAGAAGCCACTTTATTTAAAAAATTTAGGGGCGCCTGGGTGACTCAGTTAGTTAAGCGTCTGATTCTTGATTTCAGCTCAGGTCATGATGTCACAGCTTGGTACGTGGGATAGAGCCCTGCTTTGGGGGCACTGACATTGCAGAGCCTGCATGGGATTCTCTCTCCCTCTCCCGGCCCCTCTTCTGCTCATGTGGTCTCTTTCTCTCTCAAAATAAATAAATAAAGAATTTAAAATTTATATCTACACACTCAGAACAAAATAGAAACAGTTAAATTAACAACTTTGAACCTGTTTGGGTTTTCCCCCCTGTAATTAAGGCAGTAGCAGCAAAACAGATTTTGATTCTTTGTAGAGAAAGGCTTTGTCAGAATTGTTGAGAGGAGTGGGCTGTGCCCAAGGGTAGGGAGTTTCCCTGTTTGTTAGAGGTGTTCATTTAATTTGACAAACACTGAGTGCTTACTGTAGGCCAGGCCCTGTGCTACTAGGAGACAAAGAAGAGTGAGAAACAACCTTGTTCTGACAGAACCCACAGTCTCAGATACAAAAGGGATTCAAATAGCACTTTATTTCAGTTAACAAACTTTTATTGAGTGCTTATTGGCTACCAGATATGATGCTAAAGGTTATTTTTAGCTCTGAGATTTTTTTGGTTACTTATTATTTCTTATTTTTGAGATTGATAGCTATCACTAAATTTGTAGCATAAGCAAAATAACTTTTTGAGAGATAGTGTGCATGTGTGGGGGAGGAGCAGAGCGCGTGAGAGAGAAACTTTTTTTTTTTTTAAATATCTTATTTATTTCTGAGAGAGAGAGAGGCAGAGTGAACAGGGGAGGGTCAGAGAGAGAGGGAGACACAGAATCAGAAGCAGGCTCCAGGCTCTGAGCTCTGAGCTAGCTGCCAGCACAGAGCCCTACACGGGGCTTGAACCCATGAACCGTGAGATCATGACCTGAGTCAAAGTCGGACACTTAACCAACTGAGCCACCCAGGTGCGCTGAGAGAGAGAAATCTTAAGCAGGCTCCATGCCGAGTGTGGAGCCTAACATGAGGCTCCATCCCACGGCCCTGGGATCATTACCTGAACTGAAATCAAGAGTCATGCTTAACTGACTGAGTCACCCTGGTACCTCCCAAACTTTTTTTTTTTTTTGAAATGGTGATTGTTAGGTTTACATTGAAGTGAGGGGCATGTCTATGGAAATGATAGAGTCCTTCCCTTCACATCATAACCACTTGTACTTTCTCTTACGTCCATCAGCTACAGAGATCCGTGGTGGCATCAGGTGAGAAGCAGTTGCCAGTGGAGTACCGCATCAGCAAAAGGTAAGAGAGGTCCTTTCGTGGTAGGGACTCCGGTCATACTTGCTGCCTGTCCTCAGGCCTGTGGCACAATGGAAGGTCAGCAGTAGCCATCCAGAGATGCTTCTAGAGAATCCAGAGCTCATATGTTGTGTCTGTACATTCTTGTTGAGAGGAAGAAATTTCCACTCCCCTCACCCAAGGGCCTTTGACAGGTTATATGGTCTGAGGACTTAACTAGGAGGCCCTTAGGGAAAGACTTGACATAACTCCTGTGCCCCAAACCAGAAAATAAGTGTGCACTTATTCTCCTAATCAGGACTGCTTTTCCAGAGAATTCAGTCCTGTCCCCATTTGGAATTTGACTTTATAATATTCCATTCCCACTTCCTGACTCATATTCAGAACATGACTTGCCAACATTCAGGCAAGAAGGGTGGCCAGAATCTCTGGACCTGATGGCTTCTAGAGAGGCAGATTCAGCTGAGCGCCCAGCTTTATCCTCTTCCCCCAATCCTTGATTTGCACTGTAAAGACAGGACTTAGGATTGGTAAGAGGATGAGTCCCCATCCGAGCCATGAGAGACGGTGACAGCAGCATCCATGGGGAGATGCCAGACCTCAGGATGAGTGGATAGTTTTTGTTTGGGAAGTGAGGTGAATAATTAAAGTTTTGATTCAGAATCATTTCGCTTAACTTCTTTGGTCTGGTACATTTTGTGACCTTTTATTAGGAGTTATTTTCTAAACTTTGGAAGGTCCATATGACCTCAGTTTCATTGCTTTTTTAACCTTTATGACACTGTAGTGTCAAAGAGAAAATTCGACCTTCTACTTAGACTCATTGCTTTTAGGGGGGTAGGTGGTATTCTTTTTACTTCTCAGGTAAAGAAACTAAGACCCTCATTACCTCCTCTTTTTTCCCTACCATCACTCTGCCAAAATCTGTTTGAATTTTCATTCTGTTCTCACAGCTTCTCTGGAACTGGTCCTTCAAAGGCCACCAGTGAACTCCTAACCACCAAATCACTTTCCTGCCCACCAGCCTTCACTGATTATCCATACCCGTAAAGACCAGTTTTATGACCATGGTGTCCTCACCTTTTTACATGTCCTGAACCTGCTTTTCCAGACTTGTCTCTCATTACTTCTTTCATAGACCAAATGCTTTCACACTTGTGCATACTCTATATTGTTATACCTCCATGTTTGCGCTTATGCTGTTTTTTCAGCCTTCCTTCCTTCCATCCTTCCTTCTGGCAATAGATGTAACTCATTCATTCATGGACATATAGTCATTTCTGAATCAGATCATTGATGCTCCAACCTGTGGTGTGTTTTAGTGCCTGGCTGAAGGACACTGTTGACCCACTGCTGGTAACCCTTGATCATCGCATTGGTGCCCTCACAGGCCTTGATGTCCAGCCTCCCTATGCAGAGTATCTCCAGGTGGTGAACTATGGAATCGGCGGTCACTATGAGCCTCACTTTGACCATGCTACGGTAACTATGGGGTCAATGATCAATCTCCTGGTGTAGAGAACCAGGTTATTCTTTATTTCTCTGAGGCAGAGCCCTTAACATGCTCTCAGGGAATACCAAGTGAAATCTTAGAACAAAGACTCTTGTTGCAGGAAGTCTGAAAGCCTTAGTTTCAAACAGACTGCTGCTGACTCATTTCCTTTTGGGCCACCATCACCCCTCTCTAAAATTTGCTAGTGGGGAGAAGAATGTACCCTTCTGTCTTGCTTCATCCAGGGACTTCTCAGTGAAAATTGTCTTTTTTCCAATCACTTTCCTTTCCACATGATTTCAACAGCCCATCTTTGTTGATGTGTATTTAGCAAGTAATTTTTGAGGATTAAAAGATCTCCCCCAAACTGATATATAGACTCAACCCAAACTTTATCAAAATTAGAGGAGGGACTTATTTTTATGAAAATTAATAAGCTGATCCTAAAATGTATACGGAAATACAAAGGACCCAGGAAAGCCAAAATTTTGAAAAAGAACAAAGTTGGATGACACAACACTACTTGATTTCAAAATGTAATATAGAGCTACAATAATCAGGGCTGTGTGGTATTGATATAAGGATAAATACATAGGTCAGTGGAACAGAACAAAGTCCAGAAATAAACCCACACATTTATGGCCAATTGAATTTTGACAAAAGTGCTGTGGAAATTCAGTGAGGAAAAGATACACTTCAACAAATGGTTCTGGGACAACTGGATATCTACTTGCAAAATACAAACAACAACAACAACAACTTTAGACCCTTACTTCACACCATATACAAAAATTAACTGAAAATGGATTATAGACCTAAATGTAAAATGCAAAACTCTAAAATGTCTACAAGGAAACATAGAGAAATCTTTGTGATGAGGCAAAGTTTCTTAGGATAGCAAAACATAATCCATAAAAGAAAAATTAAGAGTGATAAATTGGACCTCATCAAAATTAAAATCATTTGCTTTTCAAACACATCATTAGAAAATTAAAGGACAAACCACTAACTAGAATAAAACATCTATAAATCATATATCTGATAAAGAACTTGTATTCAAAACATATAAAGAACTTATAATTCAATGATAAACAACTCAATTTTTTCTTAAAAAAATTTTTTTTAATGTTTTATTTATTTCTGAGAGAGAGAGAGAGAGACAGGGGAGGATCAGAGAGAGAGGGAGATGCAGAATCTGAAGCAGGCTCCAGGCTCTGAGCTGGCTGTCAGCACAGAGCCTGACATGGGGCTCAAACCCACAAACCGTGAGATCATGACCTGAGCTGAAGTCGGACACTTAACCCACTGACCGACCTAGGCGCCCTCTTAATTTTTTCTTTATCTATCTATCTATCTATCTATCTATCTATCTATCTATTTATCATCTATCTATCATCTATCTAAGTAAGCTCTATGCCCAATGTGGGGCTTGAACTCATAGGCCCAAGATCAGGAGTTGTGTGTTTTACTGACTGAGCCAGCCAGGCACCCCATAACTCAAGTTTTTAAAATGGGCTTATTTGAGGGGTCCCTGGGTGGCTCAGTTACTTAAGTTTCTGACTCTTAATTTCAGCTCAGGTCATGACCTCACAGTTTATGAGTTTGATTCTCACATTGGGCTCTGTGCTGACAGTGTGGAGCCTGCTTGGGATTCTCTCTCTTCCTCTCTCTCTCTCTGCCCCACCCACCCTATCAAAATAAATAAATAAACTTTAAATTAAATAAATAAATAATATGTTAAAAATGGGCTTATTTGAATTAATATTATGTATAGGTTAATAATGAAATAGGTTGTTTGAATGGATACTTCACCAAATAAAATAAATGAAGGGCTAATAAGTGCACAAAAATATGCTCAATGTCATTAGGGAAGTAAAAATTTAAACCACAGTGAGATAGCACCATACTCCTATTACAGTGGCTAAATAACAAAGACAGAAAATATCAAGTATTGTTGGTACTATGCAGGAGCTCAAACTTTCATACATTGCTGATAGAAATGTGAAATGGTACAGCCACTTTGGAAAATATTTTGGCAGTTTCTTAAAAAGTTATACATACAGAGGTGCCTGGGTGGCTCAGTTGGTTAAGCATCCAACTTCTGTTCAGGTTATAATCTTACGGTTTGTGAATTTGAGCTCTGTGCTGACAGCTCAGAGCCTGGAGCTTGCTTCAGATTTTGTATATCCCTCTATGTCTACCCTGCCCAGCTTGCACTGTCTCTGTCTCTCTTTAAAAAAAAAAAAAAAAAAAAGAAACATTAAAAAATTTAAAAAGTTATACATACACCTACATATGATCCAACTATTCCACTCCTAAGTATTTTACCCCAGAGAAAAGGAAATATGTCCATACAAAGACTTGTATAAGAGGGGCGCTAGGCAGCAAGGTTGGTTAAGCATCCGACTCTTGATTTCAGCTCAGATCAAGATCTCACAGTTCATGAGATTGAGCCCTGCACTGGGCTCTGTGCTGACAGTGCAGAGCCTGCATGGGATTCTCTCTCTCTCCCACCCTCTTTCTTGCCCCTCCCCACTCACTCACTCTTTTTCTCTCTCTCTCAAAAGAAATAAATAAACTTAAATAAGAAGACTTGTACAAGAATGTTTATAACAGCTTTATTGGTAATAGCTAAGAATTATAGACAACTCAAATGCTCATCAACAGCTGAATGAATAAACAAATTTTTCTATATCCACACAATGGACTACTACTCAGCAATAAAAAGGAATGAACTATGATATATCTAACAATACAGATGAACCTTAAAAACACTATGCTAAGTGAAAGAAGCCAAATAACAAAAGACTACATATTTTAGGAGTCTGTTTATTATGAAATATCTAGAAAAGGCAAAACTATAAAGAAAGAAGGCACATAAGTGGTTGCCCAGGGTTGAGGGTGAGATGGGGACTGACTGCAAACTGACACAAGACAACTTTTTAAGCTGAGACAAGTGCTCTTAAATTGGATTGTGGGAGTGGTGCACAACTGTTAAAATTTACCAAAACTCACTGAAAAGTACTCTTACAATGAGTGAATATTATGGTATGTTAATTATATCTCAGTTATATATTTGTCATAGAACAGAACAATGTCCTATGACAAAACAGTGTGTCTCTTTGGCAAATAATTGGGAACTCCAGTCTTACTACTTTGTGTTCCTACAGAGTAATTATCTGTAATAGTGTATCTAAAAATTTCTTTATTTCACTGGAACCGAAGGTACAGTTAACCTCAGATAGTACTTTCACTACTGACAGGCAATTGTTTGATTAGCACAGTTGACCCTTAACCAGCTCAGGCCAACCCTTTGCACAGTCAAGAATCTGTATAACTTTTGACACTACAAACACTTAACTTCTCATAGCCTACTGTTGACCGGAAGTCTTGCTGATAACATAAACCATTGATTAACACATATTTTGTATATGTTTTGTATACTGTAGTCTTATAATAAAATAAGCTAGATAAAAGAAATGTTATTAAGAAGATCATAAGGAAGAAAAAACATGTTTACAGTACTTATTGAAAAAAATCTATGTACAAGTGGACCTGCACAGTTCAAACCCATATTGTTCAAGGATCAACTAAATACAATTCATTTAAATGAGTCTCTGATAAATTAGTAAAAGAAAAACAGTAATGGAGTACCTGCCAGCAAGGTGAGTACTCAGCTAGGTGTGGCTCAAGGGAATAGCCCTCTGTGACACCCTCATTTTCCTACCTGTATTATGTTGGGATCCTGACTGTTACTCTGGTGCCATGTGCATAAAATAATGATATGTTTTATTTTTGTTTCAGTCACCAACCAGCCCACTGTACAGAATGAAGTCTGGGAACCGAGTTGCAACATTTATGATCTATGTGAGTCTTGCTTTGGAAGGAGCAGAGCCTCTTATTCAATGACTGTTTATACTGCTTTATTTTATGATTTTCAAAACAGTATCAGATATTATTTTATCTATCTATCTATCTATCTATCTATCTATCTATCTATCTATCTATCCAGCACAAAAATCTCTGAGACTTTTGTGACTTTCAGACAGTAGTTTTTTAGGCACTATAGGAGCTAAAGAAATATAAGTCAGAGTTCCTGCCTTCAAAGAGCTTATACTGCATACACTTAAATATGACCTTCTCATAGGCAGTAATTAGGAAGGGAAGTGGGTTTACATTGAAGGCTGAGAGATCCTGGGATTTGACAAACACAGAAAGAGATTATGAGGGTCTCTATCTTTGAGGTTCCAAAGACTAGCTGGCTGGTGTTGGAAAGCATGGACCGAGAGATGAGGTTGTGGAGCCATGATGGGAAAGAGGAAAGAGAAATGAGACAGTTAAGATTATAGAAGAATAGAGATGCCTACTGAGATGCTCTCTTATATGTAGTGAAAATTCTCTTTCCTATCTCCCCATAAATCTTCAGTAAAATTGGCCTTAGACCCCCCTTAACCAATCAATTGGCCTCCTCTCCTAATTTCTGACCTGATTCTACAGGAATTGAACTTAGTTGCTATTATCTCATCTAGCCCCTTACCTTCAGATCATGTGGGCTTAGTTCCTTCTTTATGGACAAGTCATAATTTCAATCACCTGTCACTTAAATTATAAGAGGTGTATTACTGTTCACTGAAGGGATAAACATGTTATAGAAGGGCTCTTCATAACCCCCAAAGATGAAGTCCTGGTTTCAGGCTCATTAGAATGGCAGACACGCCCCACCCTAGCATTCCCTCTTTGGTCAGTGCTGTGTTGTCTCCACAGGACAGCCAAGAAAGGACAACTAGAGGCCACACTATGGTCTGTAATACTGGTGATCCCATCGTATTTCCTCACATGACTCAGTTTTCTACTACTTGCAGAACTGGAAGGCTGTCACTTCCAATGTGTCTGAACTCTAGTGGTCATTCTGAGTGTTCTGATCAGAGGGACATCAGCTCTCGAGGCAGGGGGCGTGTCTTATTGCCTGCAGCTGGTTGCATCCCTGGTTGATGACTCAGGCTGGCATGGGAGGTCACAGTGACAAATATTGTTATCAACCAAAGAGTAGGACATCTAGGGGGCAGTATTTCCCTGTCCTTTACTTCCCTAGTATCTCCTATCTCTGGTTCCCTGGTTACAGAGGTCTAGTTACTATGGTAATATTTATCATATGATAATATGGTAATTATTATCAATGCAAGAGCCTTGCAGTTTTAAATGGCAAAATGCAAGTGTGTGTGTGTGGGGGGGGTGGGGGGTAAGTGCACAGACACATGTGCATGTACGTGTGGGTTTTAAACATTTGTGACAGTGAACTGGAATGCACTTTGGGCTTGCACAGTGGAATGGGGTGCACTTAGAGTTGGCCTAATTCTGGTTCTGCCACTTAATATATGTGGCCTCAGCACAAATTACATCAATCCTTTGAGCTCATTTTCTTGTCCGTGCCTCCTCATAGGGTTGTCATGAGGATTTGATGAGATAATGCAAGGGAACATTACTCTATAAAGTTTTATCTGGTATGTTTCTATCATTGTATCCCACAAGAAGGTATAGGACCCCTTAAAGGGGCACTGGCATCATGGGACCTAGGAAGTGCTAGGTTATGTCCAAAGACCATCATAAACATTTCTAACAACAAGCATTAGGGTTTGTGGGAGAACCTAAGAGTAATATTGTAGGGAGAAAATAATCTATAAGATGTACAGAGACTGAGCTGAAATCAAGTTTGTAATTTTCTGTTCAAACTGGATAAGATCAGTCCCCATACAAAACAGTGAAAGGTTTAGTCCTACCCCACCGACCTCGCAATCCTGCTCAGGAGCTTCATAGCACACAGGTCAGGTTCTCTTTTTAATTTGTTGGATAAGTCATTCCTTCCCACCATACTGCAAAACCACAGGTTTAGGAATGCAGGAAAGCCCACAGCTGCCAACAGCAGGGATTAGAACAGAATCATCCAGTTTGTTAGTTACTTGAACACAAGGGGCAAATTGTTGCCTCATGGACTTTCCCAAAGGTCGCTAAGAAATGCTAAAAGTCACAGGGAGCTGAGAAATGCTAAAAATTACCACTGCCATTTTTCAGGTTCTGAATCACCATGTCAACTCAATTTCTTCTAACAAGTGCCAGCATCCTAACCCCTAACAGGTGAATGTGGTAGCATCCATGACTGTTCGATAGACAGGGCGAAGTAAGGCTGGCATTGTCGTGTTGTGCTGCTAGTGCAGCATGTATCAAAAGTATTCAACGCATGTACACACTCTGGACTCAATAATACTAATGGTCGACTCCTGCAAGAACAGCGTAAGATGAAAAAATGATTTTACTCATTAAGAGTGGTTTATAATAGTAAATATTTGGAAATAACCTGAATATTCAAGGGTAAAGCATAAAGATTGTAATCAGGGACTCTGTAGTTAACATTGGCTCAGTTAAATCAGGCTCAGTCACTGAGGAGTTATGTTACCTTTCGTGAAGTACTTAATCTGAGACTCAGTTTCCTATCTGTAAAAAGTGAATTATAACAATAACAATTCTAATTTATAGGACTGTTGTGAGGATATCATGCATCCAATAAGCAGGATATCCATGAAGACTTAGTATAATATCTAGCATATAGTCAATGCTGAATAAATGTCAGTTATTAGTATGTAAATTATAAGTGTCCTTTTTTCTCGATTAAATGATGAGTAATTTTTAAAGTATTTTCCTGTATTTTTAAATTGTTTATATATTTGACATTCAGAAAACATCTTCATATTAAGAGAACATACCCACAATTCCAGAATATACCAGTGGTGAAACTCCTTAGCTGAGGTTACCTAGAGAGAAGGATGAGTGGTCTCAAAAACATGCCAAAGCTGCAATCAGTGGTCCTATGATGCCCAACTTTGAAAACTAATCGTAATCTAAATAGTGCTCTGCAAGCCACAGTCATGACCCATTCGTGGGCTGTGAAATTAATTTAGAGGATGTGGTCAGCATTTCAGAAATCTGAACTAGAATAGAGTAAAATAAAATGGAAAATAACAAAGGGTATCTCGTGTACTAAGAATGTTTATGAAACTTGTACTTCAGGGGTCTGTGTGTGTGTCTTGGGTTGTGATAATAAACTAGATTTCTTCCTGGTGGCCTCAAACTTTGAATCTACTTAATGTACCCCTCAATAAGGATGTTAACTGGAAGGATAAAGAAAGTGGGGATTCCTAAAGGCTCTTCTCTTGTGGCCCTGCAGGCAAACACTGATTGAGGCAAACACTGCCATCGAGTTAGTCTAATTTCTAAATTGAGTCATTGTCTTTCAATAAGTATTTCTTCCAGAGTTGAAATAGAGGACACAGAAAGGAATCTATGTGGAAATGGCATCAGATGTCAGGTGGGGCAGAGTTGGGTAGTCAGGGGCTATTTCAACACTGGCTCTTCTCTGGCATTGTAGCTGAGCTCGGTGGAAGTTGGAGGAGCCACCGCCTTCATCTATGCCAACTTTAGCGTGCCTGTGGTCAAGGTAAGTAGGGGTCTGGTCCCAGCACCCGGTGGTAATAAGTGCAGAACTAACACCTGAGCTTTGATGCTGTCTGTGTCTGCAGGCTTAATCCTGGGAGGGAGGATAAAAAGATGTTTTCCCCTGATTCTCAAAATTGAAGATAATTCCTCAATGTGGATGGCTACATGTTACTTGTGCCTCTTTTTTAAAAAAATTTTCTGACTATATTACAAGTAGATGATTACATGTCTGCCTTCTCTATTACAATAAACTCCTCAAGGTAAGAACTTAGGTTTAGTGACCCTTGGATCCTCTAGAACAACTGGTCCCCTCAGTCATTCATTCAGTAAACACTGAGGGTTGAAGGCACTGAGGGTACAGGGAAAAACTTAGTCCTTGTCATCCAGCAGCTCACAGAGAAGTTAACAGGCAGTAACAAAACATGACAATAAGAACTATGAAATCACATGAGGCACAGAGGAGGGCCATGTGATAAGACATCTCACCCCCCACCCCCACCCCCAGTCTCAGACCAATCAAGCTCCCTCACAGCTCTTATCTAATTCAGGAATGAAATAAAGATATATAAGCCTATAATACACTCAGCACAGTGCCAGGCACATGATAAGTATTGCATAAGTAAATTCAGGGATCTATGAATACTCAGGGTGTCTGTTCTGGGCTTGGGAATGCAGAAGCTGTCAGTGAATCCTGGAAAGCTCATTACCTTGGGCTTTAACTGCTTCTAATGGCCAAGGTTAAACTAAGTGTATAGGAATTGTATAGGGGAAAACAACTGTGTATAGGAGAAAAAGGAACATACAGGATTTGGAATCAAAACACATGGGTTTGAGTCTTGACTTTGCTCCTTCTGAACTGCATTATTTAAAGCCCCTAAGCCTCAGCTTCCTTGCTGGCAAAGTTGGGAGTATGATAATGCCTGCTTCCTGGGGGTGTTATTAGTAAGTGCCTAAGGAAGGGTGAGCATCTGAATTAAGTTCTTAATTCTATAAGGAATATTTTGTTCCACCTTGTGGTTTTTGCTGATTGCCTCTCCTTAGTGATCCAGTAACATAGTGGGTTCACCTTTCTCTTCACACTTGCCACATGGTCTTGTCCTGGTTTGTTTTTATGTCTTGTCTCTCCACGGAGACTCTGGGCTCCTGAGAAGCAGAACTGGACATGATTTGTCTCTGTGACCTCAGGGCCTGGAGCAGAGATGGCCCTCAGTAAATGACGCATGCATGAATGAATGGGTGAACGGCAGCTTATGCCATTTTGTGCCATTTTATGCGTGCCTTGCTTCCAATCTGCATGGATAATTTTTTCATTTAATGACATGCATGCATTTGTCTTAGTCACGTACTTCCAAAGGACTGAAATTCTGGGCTGACCCTCTCTGGGGTGCGCCCTTTGTTTTCAGAATGCAGCACTGTTTTGGTGGAATCTGCATAGGAGTGGTGAAGGGGATGGAGACACACTTCATGCTGGTTGTCCTGTCCTGGTGGGAGATAAGTGGGGTAAGGCCTATCTTTCTGGGCATAAGAATGGGGTGAGGGGTGCAGAGTAAATTGAAATAGGGGGTGGATGGAAAATAGCATGGCCTTGTGGTTCCGATAACTTCATTGTAGTGCCACATTGTATTGTGTCAGGTTGTGGGTTAGTTGCCCCCAACAGATTGGAAGCCTTAAGGGACAGATCCTCTCACAGAGGTTTCAGTGAGTTTATTGCATTGACCTGACCAGACAGGCCTTGATTTCTGAGCACAGCTGAGGAGGAAAATGGTGCTAAGATCCAGCCCTCTAATCCAAGGAGAGAACCATTGAGCTACTGTGTGTAGCATTTAGTGCCTCCTCATGAGGAGATGGTCAAACAAGGAAGAGATATATATGCAGTAGATGTGTTTATGTCATGTGTGTGTCCAAAAACAGGTAGTTCTGATGACAGAAAAAGAAGTAGATGAGAGACTCTTGTGCTGAGATAGAGCCACCCCTTTTTTCTCATTACTCTGGATTGGCACCAGAGGGAGGTAGACTTTTAGGAGCTACATGAATGAAGAGTAAGTGACTGTAGTACCCAAGATTTGAGGATCAGTCTACAGTAGACAGGACCTGTCGGAGACTTTTTCTAGGGGACAATGTCTTCTTTGCTATTTATCTTTGCTAGAAGCAACATCCTGTGGTCTGTAGCAGGGCTGGGACGAGGATGAGGCAAGTGAGTTGCATAGGGTGCAGAATACAAGTGGGGCCTCGCATGGCCCTGGGAGTGAGCACTGCTGCCATGTGCTCTGTTGAGCCTGCTCTCTTCTTCTTCCCCCTTCTCTCCCAGTGGCCAACAAGTGGATACATGAGTATGGACAGGAATTCCGCAGACCATGCAGCTCAAGCCCTGAAGACTAAAATGTTGGCTGAGAGAAACTGGTGGAGTCCTGTGGCTTTCTAGGGAAGCCAGAAGCTAAAAACCTAAGCTAGGAGCTACCTTCTGGAAGACAGCCTTGTAAGCATTGCTTGTTCCTTGCAAATGGGAGATAAGGAAGTGGTCTGTATCAGGGAACACATGAAAATGTACATGGTTTCTCCTCAAGCCATCACAGTCAGATGGCTTGACACAAATCCATAGAATGGATGGGCAATATAAAGAAGGCAGCAAGAAGGCCAAAGGGAGAAATTTCTGGGGTTCAGACTCTCTGTGCTGGAAACAGGATTTGCCAACAGTCCCTGGGGTTTAGTCAATGACATTTCTGCCACTTTGAGTGCTGACCATAGGGCCCCAGAAGTGGCAATGAGGACACCTGCAGGAAGGGGCTAGCCTGACTCCCATGGCTTTTTGCCCTTCTCTCCTCTGACTTCTGCTGAAGACTGAGCAGGGACTGTTTCTGTAACAGGAGTGTACCTCATATGATTTTTTTTTTTAAATGAAATTTTCTTTTTTTATGTGATGATTTTTTAATACAGCCATTAAATGTGTTTATAAATCATTTTTCACAACCAAGAATATTCTTACATGATAACACTGAGTAAAAACAAGTATATATATGATTATGCTATAATCTCGACTTGGCTCACCTCCCATCATTCCCTTCTCATTGCATACCAGACACATGAAATTCTTTCCATTCCTAAAGCCACTATGCTTATCGCCATCTGTATCGTCCCCACCTTTCAGGTCTTTGCATTGGTTGCATCTTAAGTCCCCCCATGGCCAGCTCTTCTCGTCGTCCCACTCCAGGCTCAGTGTCACTCCAGAGAGGGCTTCCCTGACCACCTGACCCTCCAGCCATTTTTTGCATGTTAACAATTTATTTTCTTCATGTTTCTCAAATTGCAATTACTTCCATCATTTAATTGTGGTCAGTTCCCTTCCCTGCAGGGTGAGTGCGTTAGGATTCTACCCTACTTTGTTTGTGTCTCTATAATAGCCCCCATTGCCCTGAATTGCAATATTTGTTTATTTGCTTGGCTGCTTGCACTAGACTCTGTACTCCTTCCTCCTCTTGGTATCCCCAGAAGAAGGTCTGGTCCAAATAAGTAGGCATTCAGCAAATATTTTTGGATAAGTGAATAAAAAGGCATCTTTGTAGCTGTGCTTTGGAGGACTGGTAGAATTTTTTTTCTTATTTATTTTTCTTCGTTTTTTAAATTTACATTCAAGTTAGCATACAGTGCAACAATGATTTAAAGAGTGGATTCTTTAATGCCCCTTACCCATTTAGCCCATCCCCCCTCCCACAACCCCTCCAATAACGCTCTGTTTGTTCTCCATATTTAAGAGACTTTGTCCCCTTCCCTGTTTTTATATTATTTTTGCTTCCCTTCCCTTATGTTCATCTGTTTTGTATCTTAAAGTCCTCATATGAGTGAAGTCCTATGATATTTGTCTTTCTCTGACTGACTAATTTCGCTTAGCCTAATACCCTCTAGTTCTATCCACGTAGTTGCAAATGGCAAGATTTCATTCTTTTTGATTGCCAAGTAATACTCCATTGTATATATATATATATATATTCTTTGTAGGTTAAGGACTTTTTTTCCTTTGCTGCTTTCATGATTGTTTTCTTGACTATTTTGTGAATTTGACTATAATATGCCTTGTTGATGGCTGGTTTTTGTTGAATCTTATGGGAGTCCTCTGTGCTTCCTGGATTTTGATATCTGTGTCTTTCCCAAGGTTAGAAAAATTTTCTGCTATGATTTGCTCACATAACTCTTCTACCACTTTTTCTCTTTCTTCATCTTCTGCGACTCCTATGATTCTGATATTGTTTTTTTTAATGAGTCACTGATTTCTCTTATTCTTAAATTGTGCTCTTTTGCTTTACTCTCCCTCTTTTTTCCTGTTTCATTATTCTCCATAAATTTGTCCTCTATATCACTGATTCGCTGCTCTGCCTTGTCTGTCCTTGCCGCTGTGGCATCTATTCAAGACTGCAACTAAGTTATAGCATTTTTTTATTTCATCCTGACTAGCTTTTCTTTTGTCTCCATAAGGAGGGATTCTAATCTATTTTTAACCCCAGCTAAGTATTCTTACTATCGTGATTCTAAATTCTGGTTCAGACATCCTGCTTGTAGCTGTATCGGTTACATCCCTGGCTGTCATTTTCTCCTGCTTTTTCTTTTGGGGTGAATTCCTTCATTTAGTCATTTTGAAGGAAGAAAAGGAATTAATAAGGTAAAAAAATTTAATTAAAAAAATGAAAACAACACACACACACACACACACACACACACAAAGGCAAATAAACAATGCTAGATCCTAGGTGTGTTTTTGTCTGGTTATTGAAAGGAGCTTGATTGATTAGAGAAAAAAGGGGGAAAAATTAAAATTAAAAACAATGCGCGTGCACACACACACACACACACACACACACAATCAAATAAGTGATGCTAGATCCTAGGTGTGTTTTGGTCTGGTTATTGAAAGGAGCTTGACTGATTAGAGAAAAAAGGGGAAAAAAATAAAATAAATTAAAAAAAATTTTGAAAATTTGAGAAAAAGAATACGATGATATTGAATAACATGAAATGATGGAAGTAAAGTATAATTGGAAAAAATTTTTTAAAAAGTAAAAATTTTAGTCAAATAAATAAAAGAAAATGTTTTTAATAAAAATTGAAAATAAAAATAAGTTTATCTTTCTGTATTCAAGTAAAAGAAATGAAAAAGAACAGAAAGAAAAAAGAAAATTGAATAGATAGACCAGTGAACAGACTGAAATACAATTGATATTACATCGTTTTCCCCTAGAAGTCAAGATATGAAGCAGTTTATAGTCTGTAAACTAAGCAGGTAGAGAGATTTGTGTGTTCCTGAAGAGCAAGGTTGGCCCAGTTGGGTGGGGCTTAGTGTAACTGCTCCCTTCTCCACTAGACGGTGCTGCTTAGCTTACTGGGGTGGATCGCTGTGGTACCTGTAGGTGTGTGTGCACGCATGCGTGTGTGGGGGGGTGAAAATGGCATCACCCAGCTAGCCCGTCTGGTATCAGAACTCTGTGCTTTGCCTGACCAAGAATCGTGCACGTCCTTTGTCTCCAGTTTCAGTCCACTCCCTGCTCTTACACTGTCTGTAACCACGCATCATGTTGCCAGGCGGCACCTTCCTCCTGAGTTTTATCTGAGATGCAACTGTGTTTCCCGACCCCTCACTTCAGGGTAGCTGTGGATTTAACCTGGTCAGATCCTCTGGGGGAGGGTCTCACCCAGCAATGGCCTGGTACTGGCCACACCTGGGAACTTTCACGGGGCCTTGCTGCTGTCGATGTCCAGAGTACTTGCAGCTGGGTGCCAGCTCGCCCCAGAAAAAGTTCATGCGATCGTGTAGCAGGAGCGTTTCCAGGATTATGGAAAGTCACTCATAGCCCGAGCACCTCCAGACCCACTCTTCTCCTGGGACTTCGCCCTTCCCACCAGAACACCACAGGTATTTGAGCTGCTGGGTTTTAGACTCTGTGTTCCCCCTGGTTATAAAGTCTTAATGGAATTTAAACCCTCTCCTTTCTCCTTTCTCCCTTTTTAGTTCAGTCCCTGTGGCTGTTTTCCACTTTCTCTCCAGCTGCTTTTGTGGGGGGTGCTTTTCCCGTACTCTCCACTGGTCTCTGTCCTCTCTCTGCAAACAAAAACAGCTCCCTGCCCTCCATGGCTCCTCTTTCCCCCAGTTCACTTCTCCATACCTGTTGGGTTCTGTGGTTCAGGTTGTGAAGATTGTTGTGTTAATATTCAAATCAGTTTTCTAGGTGTGCAGGATGGTTTAGTGTTGATCTGGCTGTATTTCATGTACGGGAGACAAAAAAGACTTCCATGCTGTTCCTCCATCTTGGCTCCTCCAGAGGACTGGTAGAATTTTTAATGTAGAGTCTAATGAGGAGAAGCACTTCCCAGAAGAAGGGTAGCATAAGCTAAAGCTGTATTGATAAATAACTGTAATGTCTGAGCACTTGTGCAGAGAATGTTCCAGGCAACTTGGCTCAGGTTCTTTAACAGGGGTGGGAGTGTGGGCCTCACTCACAAAGACCGCACACAGTCAAGCAACTGTGTGGTTGGATGCTGTGTTCTCTCTGCTCCCTCCCTGCACCATGCACTTCAGAATTTTTGCTTCCCAGAGCTCTGTGGCCCCTAAGGAAAGAGTTCTGATGTGCTGGTAGTCAGCTTTCCCCAGGGCGTCGATGAGCACCTGGTCACATCTTTAGTATTTCTGCTGAGTGTGCCAAGATTCTGGAAATCCTCTTACTAAATTACTAAATCTTGTCATCTAGGGGAAGGAATTTTAGCTGTACCCTTCTGTATTCTTAGCTGAGATCTCTGTAATAAAAGATTAATAAGAGAAAAGCAGAAGTTTTATGAACATGTACACCTCACGTATACATGAGAAACAGGAAAAAATGAATAACTTCCCTAGGTGGCTTAGAATTCAGGATTAAATATCATCTTAAAAGGGAAAGGTGAAGGGGCAGTGTAGGCCTCTTAGGGGAGATTTTTAGGAAAGATGAATGGGCCCTTAGAATAAATGAGAGGTATGATAGTTTGTGACAAAATCTGTCTGGGTGTGATGTCTACTTCTAGTTTCCTCTCCTGTGCTGAGAGTCAATCCTTCTCAGTTGCGGAAATTCCCAGAGGGGGGAATTTTTGACAATTGATTTCCTTTTGAAGGATCTGTCTTTAGGCAGATAATGGGAGTTCAGAGAAAGCTGCTCCTTGCATTTGCTGTTTTTCAAGTGCCTGCAGCTCAACATAGTTAAGATACCAGAGCAGCATATTTGGGAGGGGCATGGTCTGCTACCCTCAGTCACATACTGAGGCTCCAGAGGACCAGGCTGGAAACAGAAAGCTACTGTCTGTGAGCAACACGGCTCGCCTTTCTTTGCAGCTTCAGGGATCAGAGCTGGGCCTTCTCAGAATTGCAGGGTTGGTTTCAGCAATAGGAGCAACGGTGAACTTGGGTGAGTTTACTGTATGATGGGCACTGTTCTAAGGCCTATATGTAGCAATGATTTAAATGTTCATCCCAACCCTCGCTACAGTGTTATGCCTGTTTTGCAGATATGGACGCAGAGATGAGTTTAAGTAACTTGCCCAAGTCCCATAGTCTGGCTCCAAACCTTGTGCTTTGAACCACTACTTTTGCAATGTCTGATATGTGGCAATTATCACACATCCTGATCAGGTGACTGAGGCCCAAGAACTATCTGGCAGATGAAACAAGCGCTTACTGAGCATTCTCCAGGGGCAGGCACTGGGCCCAGGCATGCTCTGGGGATGCTGAGGTGCACGACGCAGTCCCTGGGAGCTAATGGCCAGAAGGGAGATAACACAGATGCATCCAGGGTTAAATGTAAGTTAAGCATGATGTGGAAAGGTTACATGCAGTGAGAGAAGAATTGTTGAATGCCACAGTCCAGAGCTGAAGGGATCATTGTGGCTTGGGGTAGTTGGGATAGCCTCATTTGTTTATCCAGATCACATAGCCAAGGTGCCGCCTTAGTGCCAGGCCCTTGCAAGCACCAGGAATGGAGAGGAGAATTAGAATGCTGACTGTGCCCAGACCTTCAGATCA